ATAAGAAATAAAAAGCTTAAAGAAAACACGTATCTCTCTTAATAAGCGAATAAGTTTAACGCGTAAAATAGCTTTTATAAGCTATTAGCTTTATTACTAATAAATTAAAGAGAGTATCTTATAACTTAAATATAATTACTAATACTAATACTATAATTATTAGTAATAATACTACGTGAAATAATACTACTAATAATACACCTACTACTAATAGTAATACTTAAAATAATACTACTACTATTAAAGATAGTAATACTTAGAATAATACTACTATTATTAAAGATAGTAATACTTAGGCTACTACTAGTAATAATAAGCCTTCTATTAAGAATAGAGCACTGGAAGTAGTGTAGTTTTGTAGTTTTTAGTGAATTTTAGTGTAGTATAGTATAGTATAGTTTTACTATACTATATTATATTATTATAAGAAAACTAAATTATATAAAGACTTAACACTTAATAATAAGTTTTACTATAATTATTTATAGTTTAGCTACTATAAAGCTTAATACCCTATTAATCTTATTTATTATAAATATAAGAGATAATAAAAGAATAAACGCTATATTAAATACTCCGCTAAAAACTACTAAAATACTTATACGTATAACTATTTAATAGATAACGTTAGTCTTAATTATATTTCTAATAATATTATTTATAACCCCTTTTTCCTAGTTAAAGGCATTAATATTATAAAGCCTTAACCTAATAAGAAATAAAAAGCCTAAAGAAAACGCGTACCCCCCTTAATAAGCGAACGAGCTTAACGCGTGAAATAGCTTCTATAAGCTACTAGCTTTACTGCTAATAAACTAGAGAGAGTACCTCGTAATAATAACGCTTAAAACATAACTATTAACGCTAATACTATAGTAGTTTATAATAATATTACGTGGAATAATACTATTAATAATATACCCGCTACTAATAATAATACTTAGGCTAGTATTACTATCACTTAAGATAACGAGAATAATAATACTTAGGCTAATACTACTACCACTTAAAGTAGTAAGAATAATAATACTTAGATTAATACTACTATTACTTAAGATAGTAAGAATAATAATACTTAGGCTAGTATTACTACTACTTAAAATAGTAAAGATAATAATGCTTAGGCTAATACTAGTAATAATAGTATTAAGTTTATTAGCTAATAAGTAAATAAAACGAAAGATTAAAATAAGGAATTAACTTTAATTTTACTTTAATTACGTGTATTATATATTTTTAATAGCTCTTAGCCTTTATATAAATTAAACTAATAAAGAAGGTAATTAAGTAATATAAAATTATTATACACTTTAATAGATAAGGGATTTAATAGTTTTTTCTTTTTTTATTATCTTAATAATAAGGCTATTATCTTTTTCCTTTTAAATAAAGGGATATTAAGGCCTATATAGTTATATATAAGGTACTAGATTATTATTATTATATTATTACCCTTTAGTTAACTCTTTTTCTTCTTTTATATAATAAACTTTTTTACTTCTTTTAGCTCTCTTATAATATAACTTATTAGTTGCATTACGAGCTCTTGTAACCTCGCTATAGCTCCCTTCCGTGAGCCCTTACAGACTACAGTAGATATCTTGTCTAGTGGCTCCGCACAATAAATGCATTATACGTCCTCACTTGAAACTTCCGAGCAATAAACATCTACAATAATATAAGCTCAAGCTATTAATAGCATAAAAAGAATTAAGGCCCTACGGGTTACATAGTGCCGACGCAGTGGCTTTTCATCTAACGGTCCTTTGTGGCAACCAGGATAGGGGCAGAACTGTCGGTGATAACCGAGGTCAGGCTTGTGCCAAGTTTGCTTAGTATTAGAGCTAACAAGCTAGTAGTCGTTGACATCTGTGTGGGATTCGCTTTAGAGAATTGGTGTGGCTATCATTAACTGAGAATTCGTTGGGGAAATCTTATCTATCAGGCAACGTACTTGAAACTGGGAGGCTGTTAGTTAAGGGTAGGCTCCATTGCCGGTTCGCCATGAGTCCATGACAGACCTGATGCCTTTTAATATTCTTAACTGCACGATCTATCTCAACCAGGTGATGTTTAATTTCTTCCACTTCAGGATGCCATGGATGTGTCTGACGGTTACTCTGGGACATTGTGTTCTTAACGCGGTGTTTTGCGACATTAAAGATGGGGGGGGGAACCGCATCACATGCCCCCCCCCATTTTGGGTTTCCGGGCGGTGCCACTTCGGCTAACCCGATCGCCTGCCTAATAAAGGAATAAACATATCCAAGCAACTTACGACAAAAAAAAAATCCACAAGCCCATCCACCGCGTTCAACTTAACAGCAGAACTTTGGGCCTGATTTAACAGTCTATCAAGCAAATGGGGGAGGGAAATAACGTTTGTTACGCCTGTGGCGGTAACCCGGTTGGAGTCGCCTGCGGAAACTGTGGAGCGAAGCCCAAATAGCTGGTAAGGTAAGAACGGACGGACACCAACCAAACACAAAGCTTACGATAGAAATGCTTACAAGGATTACAGGTTAGTAAAACCGTGTATCGGACTTTGCCTTGTACAGACAAGCACCTCATTCGTACGATAGCACGTGACTTCTTATCGTCATGTAATGTCCTCTAAATTTCGAATGAAGCTTACACAACACAAGCCTGCTTAAAAAATGCAAAATCGGCAAGACGAACGATAGATTTTCGGAGAGACACATCCCCTCTGGTGTGTTAAGGCTCCAATCGAGTATCTGCAGGGATATATATCCAATAAGAAGATAAACTTAAAAAGGTACATTTACTTACTATAATATCAAGTGATCATAAGTGTACCTAAAAGATAGTATTTTACAAATCACTACATTTAACTTAGTACAGTCCTAGCGCGATTAACGGGTCGCCCTAAGGTCACCCGCTATCAGCATGTGCATTGTGGAGCTCGTAACCCCACTGGAGCCTTAACACACCAGAGGGGATAATATTCGCGATCTTTGAAGTCCTTTCAGAGGCTTCGTTGTCACTTTCGGGATTCTTCGGGATTCTTTTTAGACTCTTTAGGTTCGTTGGGTGCTTTAGGTGCTTTGGGTTCTTTGGGTTCTTTGGGTTCTTTGGGTTCTTTGGGTTCTTTGGGTTCTTTGGGTTCTTTGGGTTCTTTGGGTTCTTTGGGTTCTTTGGGTTCTTTGGGTTCTTTGGGTTCTTTGGGTTCTTTGGGTTCTTTGGGTTCTTTGGGTTCTTTGGGTTCTTTGGGTTCTTTGGGTTCTTTGGGTTCTTTGGGTTCTTTGGGTTCTTTGGGTTCTTTGGGTTCTTTGGGTTCTTTGGGTTCTTTGGGTTCTTTGGGTTCTTTGGGTTCTTTGGGTTCTTTGGGTTCTTTGGGTTCTTTGGGTTCTTTGGGTTCTTTGGGTTCTTTGGGTTCTTTGGGTTCTTTGGGTTCTTTGGGTTCTTTGGGTTCTTTGGGTTCTTTGGGTTCTTTGGGTTCTTTGGGTTCTTTGGGTTCTTTGGGTTCTTTGGGTTCTTTGGGTTCTTTGGGTTCTTTGGGTTCTTTGGGTTCTTTGGGTTCTTTGGGTTCTTTGGGTTCTTTGGGTTCTTTGGGTTCTTTGGGTTCTTTGGGTTCTTTGGGTTCTTTGGGTTCTTTGGGTTCTTTGGGTTCTTTGGGTTCTTTGGGTTCTTTGGGTTCTTTGGGTTCTTTGGGTTCTTTGGGTTCTTTGGGTTCTTTGGGTTCTTTGGGTTCTTTGGGTTCTTTGGGTTCTTTGGGTTCTTTGGGTTCTTTGGGTTCTTTGGGTTCTTTGGGTTCTTTGGGTTCTTTGGGTTCTTTGGGTTCTTTGGGTTCTTTGGGTTCTTTGGGTTCTTTGGGTTCTTTGGGTTCTTTGGGTTCTTTGGGTTCTTTGGGTTCTTTGGGTTCTTTGGGTTCTTTGGGTTCTTTGGGTTCTTTGGGTTCTTTGGGTTCTTTGGGTTCTTTGGGTTCTTTGGGTTCTTTGGGTTCTTTGGGTTCTTTGGGTTCTTTGGGTTCTTTGGGTTCTTTGGGTTCTTTGGGTTCTTTGGGTTCTTTGGGTTCTTTGGGTTCTTTGGGTTCTTTGGGTTCTTTGGGTTCTTTGGGTTCTTTGGGTTCTTTGGGTTCTTTGGGTTCTTTGGGTTCTTTGGGTTCTTTGGGTTCTTTGGGTTCTTTGGGTTCTTTGGGTTCTTTGGGTTCTTTGGGTTCTTTGGGTTCTTTGGGTTCTTTGGGTTCTTTGGGTTCTTTGGGTTCTTTGGGTTCTTTGGGTTCTTTGGGTTCTTTGGGTTCTTTGGGTTCTTTGGGTTCTTTGGGTTCTTTGGGTTCTTTGGGTTCTTTGGGTTCTTTGGGTTCTTTGGGTTCTTTGGGTTCTTTGGGTTCTTTGGGTTCTTTGGGTTCTTTGGGTTCTTTGGGTTCTTTGGGTTCTTTGGGTTCTTTGGGTTCTTTGGGTTCTTTGGGTTCTTTGGGTTCTTTGGGTTCTTTGGGTTCTTTGGGTTCTTTGGGTTCTTTGGGTTCTTTGGGTTCTTTGGGTTCTTTGGGTTCTTTGGGTTCTTTGGGTTCTTTGGGTTCTTTGGGTTCTTTGGGTTCTTTGGGTTCTTTGGGTTCTTTGGGTTCTTTGGGTTCTTTGGGTTCTTTGGGTTCTTTGGGTTCTTTGGGTTCTTTGGGTTCTTTGGGTTCTTTGGGTTCTTTGGGTTCTTTGGGTTCTTTGGGTTCTTTGGGTTCTTTGGGTTCTTTGGGTTCTTTGGGTTCTTTGGGTTCTTTGGGTTCTTTGGGTTCTTTGGGTTCTTTGGGTTCTTTGGGTTCTTTGGGTTCTTTGGGTTCTTTGGGTTCTTTGGGTTCTTTGGGTTCTTTGGGTTCTTTGGGTTCTTTGGGTTCTTTGGGTTCTTTGGGTTCTTTGGGTTCTTTGGGTTCTTTGGGTTCTTTGGGTTCTTTGGGTTCTTTGGGTTCTTTGGGTTCTTTGGGTTCTTTGGGTTCTTTGGGTTCTTTGGGTTCTTTGGGTTCTTTGGGTTCTTTGGGTTCTTTGGGTTCTTTGGGTTCTTTGGGTTCTTTGGGTTCTTTGGGTTCTTTGGGTTCTTTGGGTTCTTTGGGTTCTTTGGGTTCTTTGGGTTCTTTGGGTTCTTTGGGTTCTTTGGGTTCTTTGGGTTCTTTGGGTTCTTTGGGTTCTTTGGGTTCTTTGGGTTCTTTGGGTTCTTTGGGTTCTTTGGGTTCTTTGGGTTCTTTGGGTTCTTTGGGTTCTTTGGGTTCTTTGGGTTCTTTGGGTTCTTTGGGTTCTTTGGGTTCTTTGGGTTCTTTGGGTTCTTTGGGTTCTTTGGGTTCTTTGGGTTCTTTGGGTTCTTTGGGTTCTTTGGGTTCTTTGGGTTCTTTGGGTTCTTTGGGTTCTTTGGGTTCTTTGGGTTCTTTGGGTTCTTTGGGTTCTTTGGGTTCTTTGGGTTCTTTGGGTTCTTTGGGTTCTTTGGGTTCTTTGGGTTCTTTGGGTTCTTTGGGTTCTTTGGGTTCTTTGGGTTCTTTGGGTTCTTTGGGTTCTTTGGGTTCTTTGGGTTCTTTGGGTTCTTTGGGTTCTTTGGGTTCTTTGGGTTCTTTGGGTTCTTTGGGTTCTTTGGGTTCTTTGGGTTCTTTGGGTTCTTTGGGTTCTTTGGGTTCTTTGGGTTCTTTGGGTTCTTTGGGTTCTTTGGGTTCTTTGGGTTCTTTGGGTTCTTTGGGTTCTTTGGGTTCTTTGGGTTCTTTGGGTTCTTTGGGTTCTTTGGGTTCTTTGGGTTCTTTGGGTTCTTTGGGTTCTTTGGGTTCTTTGGGTTCTTTGGGTTCTTTGGGTTCTTTGGGTTCTTTGGGTTCTTTGGGTTCTTTGGGTTCTTTGGGTTCTTTGGGTTCTTTGGGTTCTTTGGGTTCTTTGGGTTCTTTGGGTTCTTTGGGTTCTTTGGGTTCTTTGGGTTCTTTGGGTTCTTTGGGTTCTTTGGGTTCTTTGGGTTCTTTGGGTTCTTTGGGTTCTTTGGGTTCTTTGGGTTCTTTGGGTTCTTTGGGTTCTTTGGGTTCTTTGGGTTCTTTGGGTTCTTTGGGTTCTTTGGGTTCTTTGGGTTCTTTGGGTTCTTTGGGTTCTTTGGGTTCTTTGGGTTCTTTGGGTTCTTTGGGTTCTTTGGGTTCTTTGGGTTCTTTGGGTTCTTTGGGTTCTTTGGGTTCTTTGGGTTCTTTGGGTTCTTTGGGTTCTTTGGGTTCTTTGGGTTCTTTGGGTTCTTTGGGTTCTTTGGGTTCTTTGGGTTCTTTGGGTTCTTTGGGTTCTTTGGGTTCTTTGGGTTCTTTGGGTTCTTTGGGTTCTTTGGGTTCTTTGGGTTCTTTGGGTTCTTTGGGTTCTTTGGGTTCTTTGGGTTCTTTGGGTTCTTTGGGTTCTTTGGGTTCTTTGGGTTCTTTGGGTTCTTTGGGTTCTTTGGGTTCTTTGGGTTCTTTGGGTTCTTTGGGTTCTTTGGGTTCTTTGGGTTCTTTGGGTTCTTTGGGTTCTTTGGGTTCTTTGGGTTCTTTGGGTTCTTTGGGTTCTTTGGGTTCTTTGGGTTCTTTGGGTTCTTTGGGTTCTTTGGGTTCTTTGGGTTCTTTGGGTTCTTTGGGTTCTTTGGGTTCTTTGGGTTCTTTGGGTTCTTTGGGTTCTTTGGGTTCTTTGGGTTCTTTGGGTTCTTTGGGTTCTTTGGGTTCTTTGGGTTCTTTGGGTTCTTTGGGTTCTTTGGGTTCTTTGGGTTCTTTGGGTTCTTTGGGTTCTTTGGGTTCTTTGGGTTCTTTGGGTTCTTTGGGTTCTTTGGGTTCTTTGGGTTCTTTGGGTTCTTTGGGTTCTTTGGGTTCTTTGGGTTCTTTGGGTTCTTTGGGTTCTTTGGGTTCTTTGGGTTCTTTGGGTTCTTTGGGTTCTTTGGGTTCTTTGGGTTCTTTGGGTTCTTTGGGTTCTTTGGGTTCTTTGGGTTCTTTGGGTTCTTTGGGTTCTTTGGGTTCTTTGGGTTCTTTGGGTTCTTTGGGTTCTTTGGGTTCTTTGGGTTCTTTGGGTTCTTTGGGTTCTTTGGGTTCTTTGGGTTCTTTGGGTTCTTTGGGTTCTTTGGGTTCTTTGGGTTCTTTGGGTTCTTTGGGTTCTTTGGGTTCTTTGGGTTCTTTGGGTTCTTTGGGTTCTTTGGGTTCTTTGGGTTCTTTGGGTTCTTTGGGTTCTTTGGGTTCTTTGGGTTCTTTGGGTTCTTTGGGTTCTTTGGGTTCTTTGGGTTCTTTGGGTTCTTTGGGTTCTTTGGGTTCTTTGGGTTCTTTGGGTTCTTTGGGTTCTTTGGGTTCTTTGGGTTCTTTGGGTTCTTTGGGTTCTTTGGGTTCTTTGGGTTCTTTGGGTTCTTTGGGTTCTTTGGGTTCTTTGGGTTCTTTGGGTTCTTTGGGTTCTTTGGGTTCTTTGGGTTCTTTGGGTTCTTTGGGTTCTTTGGGTTCTTTGGGTTCTTTGGGTTCTTTGGGTTCTTTGGGTTCTTTGGGTTCTTTGGGTTCTTTGGGTTCTTTGGGTTCTTTGGGTTCTTTGGGTTCTTTGGGTTCTTTGGGTTCTTTGGGTTCTTTGGGTTCTTTGGGTTCTTTGGGTTCTTTGGGTTCTTTGGGTTCTTTGGGTTCTTTGGGTTCTTTGGGTTCTTTGGGTTCTTTGGGTTCTTTGGGTTCTTTGGGTTCTTTGGGTTCTTTGGGTTCTTTGGGTTCTTTGGGTTCTTTGGGTTCTTTGGGTTCTTTGGGTTCTTTGGGTTCTTTGGGTTCTTTGGGTTCTTTGGGTTCTTTGGGTTCTTTGGGTTCTTTGGGTTCTTTGGGTTCTTTGGGTTCTTTGGGTTCTTTGGGTTCTTTGGGTTCTTTGGGTTCTTTGGGTTCTTTGGGTTCTTTGGGTTCTTTGGGTTCTTTGGGTTCTTTGGGTTCTTTGGGTTCTTTGGGTTCTTTGGGTTCTTTGGGTTCTTTGGGTTCTTTGGGTTCTTTGGGTTCTTTGGGTTCTTTGGGTTCTTTGGGTTCTTTGGGTTCTTTGGGTTCTTTGGGTTCTTTGGGTTCTTTGGGTTCTTTGGGTTCTTTGGGTTCTTTGGGTTCTTTGGGTTCTTTGGGTTCTTTGGGTTCTTTGGGTTCTTTGGGTTCTTTGGGTTCTTTGGGTTCTTTGGGTTCTTTGGGTTCTTTGGGTTCTTTGGGTTCTTTGGGTTCTTTGGGTTCTTTGGGTTCTTTGGGTTCTTTGGGTTCTTTGGGTTCTTTGGGTTCTTTGGGTTCTTTGGGTTCTTTGGGTTCTTTGGGTTCTTTGGGTTCTTTGGGTTCTTTGGGTTCTTTGGGTTCTTTGGGTTCTTTGGGTTCTTTGGGTTCTTTGGGTTCTTTGGGTTCTTTGGGTTCTTTGGGTTCTTTGGGTTCTTTGGGTTCTTTGGGTTCTTTGGGTTCTTTGGGTTCTTTGGGTTCTTTGGGTTCTTTGGGTTCTTTGGGTTCTTTGGGTTCTTTGGGTTCTTTGGGTTCTTTGGGTTCTTTGGGTTCTTTGGGTTCTTTGGGTTCTTTGGGTTCTTTGGGTTCTTTGGGTTCTTTGGGTTCTTTGGGTTCTTTGGGTTCTTTGGGTTCTTTGGGTTCTTTGGGTTCTTTGGGTTCTTTGGGTTCTTTGGGTTCTTTGGGTTCTTTGGGTTCTTTGGGTTCTTTGGGTTCTTTGGGTTCTTTGGGTTCTTTGGGTTCTTTGGGTTCTTTGGGTTCTTTGGGTTCTTTGGGTTCTTTGGGTTCTTTGGGTTCTTTGGGTTCTTTGGGTTCTTTGGGTTCTTTGGGTTCTTTGGGTTCTTTGGGTTCTTTGGGTTCTTTGGGTTCTTTGGGTTCTTTGGGTTCTTTGGGTTCTTTGGGTTCTTTGGGTTCTTTGGGTTCTTTGGGTTCTTTGGGTTCTTTGGGTTCTTTGGGTTCTTTGGGTTCGGTGCTTTGCGGTCTGGGAGTTTTATGGGTACATGTACTAAGTGGTTCGACTAACTGTTCCAACTCCAAACCAAAGCCCGCTAACTAACAGGGCACTTGGAAAATAAAATAAACATAAAAAAGAGAGAAAAGAAATAATATTAGGAGTAAATTTAACTTATTAAGCTTATATAGTTTATTAGTATAGTAGATAACTTGAGAATTTGGGGAAGTATCACTTTAACAATCTAGCTTTTTGGATAATAGTCCTGGTGATACTTGAAGGAACATATTTAAAGTGACCCAACCAACATGCATGCGGCTTGCAGGAAAGCTGGTCGTGGAGGTATTAGTTCAGCGTTCCAGGCAGATCCTTGCGCTGTAGCACCCGTGTCATCTCGGTCCAGTGACATGTGTTCCATGGGCTCAAATATAAGATCGTCAATCATGCCGAGAATTATGTGGCTTTTAAACGTCACTGTTCCCTGGATACCAAGAGAACTTCGTAGTAATGGACCACGGAACATGGCTTCGACTCTCGCAGCACAGTGCGAAATGAATGAACAGCTCCATCGCCTTCATTCTGTGACTGGGCCATGTGCATGCCACCTACTACAAGATCAAGGTCCATGACCAGGTGTCACAAACTCAAACAAATTATCCCCCGCATTCATATTTTACACGTCGTGTTGCATTTCACAAGGTGTGCCGCTCATGCAGAGTGCCACGGACTGCATTTACGAGGACTTCGCTTGGCCCTAGGCAATTTTCGTCGTTTACTGCGTGAGAGGGGGAATGGACGCTGGCTTATATCGCGTTATCCTGGCTTTTAATTGGCAGATTACAGGCAGCTGTAATTGAGTGAGGGATCACATGCCGACCCTCTGGACATCATACATTCTATGACATTCCAAATACACATTGTTCTTTCGTCAATCGTACAAGGATCTGTGTGCCCACGCTTCCTCCGTTCCGCACTCAAATATCACATATTGGCTAGCAGACTAGGCCCCCTTTTCCAGAACCCCTTCCATTTCTCTGTTGTCATTAATGTTTGGTACCGTAAACAAACGCGCAGGTCGACGGCTTTGTGGCTTGTTCTTGCCCCCGTTGCACAAGCCACAGGCCTGGCCATTACCCTGCTTGCCAGTGTCGCTACACAGTGGACACGGCATCTCCAGGCATATTAGCAAAACGATGTTTGGCTAGCATTTCGATCGAAATACATACTGTTAATGTTTTGAGAACTTGAACTTAGATAATTAAATGTGAATGAAGCGGGGAGAGAGAAAACTAAAAGCCGGAGGGATTTTTTTCTTCCTTATATGGTTGTCCATTCGGAGATTCTGGTCAGGTGATGCAATTGGACATTATGACCGTGCCTTTTGACCCCACTTAGCCGTGCTATCCCGTTAGTGGTCACCTGTTAACCTCACGTTTGCTCCTCACTCACGACTACCTCGACTGTTCCCTCCCAACAATATGTTCGACACATCAGTCGAGCAATGGCGTTGCCATGGTTGCCAAAAGTCCTTTCAGGATGGAATAGCGTTAGCCAAGCACACCGATACAGTCATGGTTCGCTGCACTCTTCTCTCCACCTTGCTCACGCTAATGCAGTTCAGTTACGATCGTAGTCGGCACAAGGCCGCATGCATAAACTGATGATTGAGTGGCAACGCTTGATTTCGGAATGGCAAAGCTTGATGTTAGAATGGACCGAAGTCTTAGCCCATTCTGAGTCAGAGTCGGTGCCGGCGGAGAATGGACGTGAAAGGCAGGGGAATGCTAAGCCACTGTCTTGTCCAGACTCAGATTGCATGCGAACGAAACAGAGATACACCTTGTTAAGGTCACTTCAACGGCACTATCGCGCGCGTAATGTATTCCTACCTGGCCTGAGTTGAAGTGAATACTAATATACTCCGCATAGATGTCCCCTTCAAAGGGAGATGCTATTACTGCGAATGTGAATTTAAAATGACAATAAGCGAATATGATAGGCGCCTCGATAAGTGTTCGAAAAACAGGAGAAGCAGCTCAAAGGTCAAAGCGCTTGCGCAGGCATAAAAGAAACGCATTCACAAGATTGCGTGTGACAAACTAAGACTCATGATGCCGTCTGAGGCCATTAATGTGCCAGTTGACCACGGCGGTTTCGAGCATATTATGGCTAGCGAAACAACGGGGGGGACAAATTCACTCACAGCTTGTCCGATCCCCTCTCACTCTTTCACCATCGCCATATATACACTAACATATTACAGCACCAAACGATCAGCTACATCTTTCTCTGGATAATCAATTTGGGAGTTTACCGAATGTGATGAATCCCAGTACTTTTCGGTACCTAGAGGAATAGCATTTAGCGGAGAGAAAACTCTAGTGGATTGGGCTCTCGAAAATCCGGGCCTATTGGTGGCAAGCCCAACTACAGGTTGTTCCCCTTCGGGCCTTTTCTTTCCAATTGCGCCCTCTGACGTATGACAGCACTGAATGATCTCCACCAGCTACCTCTCTCTGGGAACGACCATTTCGGCATGATAACAAACTCTGATTCCCTTTCGTACCCGAGAGGGACGGCATTTAGCGGAAAGAAAACTCCCGTAGACTGGGCTCTTCACGAGTTTGACACGATTGGACCAAATGCAGAATCCGTAGGCGTCTATCCTGGCAACAGCACACATATAGGAGAGATTCTAGAAGCAGAGATGAGACAGAGTTAAGTATTTAGTGATTATTTTGGTGTTTCCACTGGCCCAAATTTGATGTTCATTTTGATCTTCTCTGTATCCATGCTCTGCACCATGTTTTTTAGTAGAGTAGAGTCTGGGTACAACATCCGATTCCATTCCTTGAGTTCCTTCTCATCGGCAAACGCTACCTCGATGACGACTCCTTGTATAATCGTGCTGAAGAACCGCCCATCCAATATCACCCTATTATTCAGGTTAGAATAGTCACGTCTTAAAAGACAGTCAACTTACAAACCACCATTAGGCAACTCTTGTGTTGTGGCGGTGATTCCAGGCCGAATGATGGAATTTCTTGAAACTTCAAGTAGACCTGTGTCGTCTTTTTCTTTCGGGGGCGGCCTAGCATCCAAGAAGTATCTCTGACTATTTTCGTAAAGAATGATTTTTGACGCTGGGCCACAGTGCAAAACGTTCACGACCAAGAGGTCGTCCGTAGTCCTATTTAACGGGGCTCGGGCAGTATCGGTATGTGGTCCAAACACTTTGAACATGCCTAGGCCGGATCGCTCGAATAATGACTCGACAGTATTCACAACACTCTATGTCGGTGTTAGCAAGCCCGGCGCACTGATACCGGAGAACGCACAAGGTCGGCGAGGGTATCTCTTAGAAAGGCCAGACCGTCCACGGAGCGGAATGGATATTTCTTTTCCCCAAAAATATGCACTCTCTCTCCAACTTCAGGAGCTGGAATGACTATAAAGCCATCTCTGAGGATGGTTTCCTTTATGCGCTTAGTATCCATAGATACTATTGTTTTGGGCGTGTGGTCGACAAGGAAGAAAAATGACCCCTCACACTTCACGGCTGAGGCAAAATATCCTAGCGATGACGCAGCTAGCAGACGGCGGCCCAATATGCGCGTGATTCGTCGTCCCGCAGCTCTGTGGAGTGGCTTCGACATAGCACGTTATGAAATTTGGCACAACCTGTGTACATGTTAAAACGGCCATAGATGGGACATCTGTGAGATTTGACACAACTGGTCGGGTGTACACACCGCCTGTGAAATTAGCACCAGACAAATATTGAGTGTGTGAGGGGTAACGTTAGCTGCGAACCTCGCAAGACATAATCACAAGGACAAATTTCCCGCACTGATAGACGGCGTTGGCAAAATAAGACTGCAAGTTATTCTCTTCTACTGGATAACATATGCAGTTAGCATTATTTTATTATGGGCCGTGAGTTAATAGCACAGCCCAAGTGGGAAGATACAACCATCATGTTCTAATGTTCTCTGCGACATCCAGGAACAGTTCCCGTGGTTATACTGGCATGCAGCGTGATGTGGCTTGCAGAAGAGCTGTTAGCTTGCATTAGAAAGGGGAGTGTCTTGATTAAATTAACATTAAAACCAGCCTAAAAAAGCAAACCCTGATTCAAAACTAACGTAAAAAGGATACATGAGGCAAGAGATAAGACGTGTTTGGTATATAACGTCCAACATTGCCGTTGAAGCTATGAGTGTTTTAGACACAGGACATCATACTAGTTTGAATTGGCTTGTAACTATTTTTACAGTTCTTCTGAAAATGGCTGAACGTCATACGCCTAAGTTGATGAGCAATGAAGAAAAGTACGTCATTCCGTTACGGCAGGGATAAAATTTGTTGACAATAGCAGGCAACACATTCCCTCAACACCTCGCCCAACTTCAAGCACGCTGTATGTGCCTCCTGGACAGACAGAGTCGATTTCAGTACACCCAGCACATACACATGATAAACATGTGGATGGAAGGTTAGCACTACCTCTTAGGGAATGATTTATTGTCTCCGTTGTCTTATGCGTGACTGACAGGCAACAGTGAAATCCCAGGTTCAAGATCCGGGAGCACAGAGCTCGAGAATACGGCCAGGCCTGTGGATACCTCGAAGCCCTGTTCAAAGGGAGATCAAAGTGTCATATCAGACTACATTGAGAACGGTGATTACGTGTCCAATCCTCCTGTCCAAGCTAACGCTAACATTATTCGGCAGTAAATCATAGCAGTACCGATATTCCAGGTAATGGTAATGACCCAATCTCTTTACACCAGGACTTATTGATGACATGTAATCGTAGATTCAATTACCCCCCAGGGCTCCCAAAATGAACGGGCACATCAAGAAGAGAGTCACGATTACCTCACGAACGCAAACCCACAAGATCGAGAAGCCCTAGCAGCCCTCTCTCCCCCACCGACGATGGGAGCGGAACAGATGCGACGGACTATGGTGAAGAGGAAGGTATGGATGCGGCCGACGGTCTGCCAGATTGGCGTGGGGGAGAGTGAATGCGGTGCTGGTGAGGCTATGTATAGTGACGTACAGAATTTGGTAATGTCTAGTTTGCTAGGCGGGATTAGGTACTATATCACTCGTTCCTATTACACGGCAAAAAAGCTCCACGAAAAATAACAGCTGCTGAGATTTCCTATCATACATGCGTTGTCACTGTGTATTGTGGTATACCTTGTCAGACTTTTTAACGAATGATTGGGCCATGGGCCCAGTTTTGAAGTCACGCGAGGCCTGGTTATGGTGTCAACGTTGTTCTCACTTGGCCCGCGTTGGGTCCATCCTTCGTACATATAAAAGCCAGATGCTCGATAACCTCTTGTAGAATCCGCAACAGCGATTCAATATAATGGCTGGAAATAATCACTACCAAATTCTCAAGCTTGAGACACCAAATGGAGTTGACAGCATTATTCAGAGCCTAGCCACTCTCCACGCTACCAAAAATGTTGATGAACGGGGTCGACAGAAATGGATTTACATCAAGACACCACAGATCAGAGATCACACCAACACCCTCTTGAATATGGTAAGTACATATCCCGTGCGACGCTGCGACGTCAGGCTAAAAGAGTATGAGGACTCGTCTGTCAACGAGAGTATTGGTAAACAAGGGCTTATTGTTTGTACCATAGAGAAAGATCCAAGGATTATTCGCACTGGCAATGGAGTGAGCGATTATCAAGAAGCGCGTCCCGGCTCCATTGCCATAATAACTCCCATGACGCACAATAAGGCGCGCATTTGGTTGGCACAAATTGGGGAGCCTTTTTCGGAGAGCAGTTTTATTGATGCTGGCAAAGAGGACATGGTGATTATACTTCCAAACACTAAATTCCGTCTTAAAGTGCCGTATTACTTAATGGTACGGCGTGTACAAGAGATTTAGAATAACATGAGAATTGAGATCATTTTCAATAAAAATACTGTACACTAGGTTCCTAGCCCAGGTGGTTATCGTGGGAAAATTCACCACTCGCTGCCGAGCCTGACCCGTCGTTAGGGAAGACTTGCGAACTAAACAGTTGAAGGCCGTCACTTGCATCCATGCCTCCAAAATCAAAATCGGTGCCTTCAGGATAGGTCGATTGAACAAATTGTGAGTCAAATTGTGACGGATCGATGATACTTCCAAAATGATTTGTCAACGCTAAAGGCCCCTTGCGTTTCAGATTGATCTACATTCTGCGGCCTGGACAAACAGCTATGTTTCTTTCATGCAGAAATCTGTGTCGCGCGCTGCCCCAAATGCGACAACTATACAGCGGTCAGACGAGGCTCGATTAATGTTCTTATCGCAGGCTGACTATCACAGCAATCCCCCTCTCGTCCCATTCACGCCATTTGGCTCCATTACTCTTAAATACTGTATTCTGGATGTGCAAATGCACGCCTCCTACCCCGGCTATCACGGCTTAAGATATGCCGGTTGGGTATGGAACTGTAGGAACAACGCTAAGATTGCCCAAGACCCAATTAAGAGAGCTCGTTTACCCCCCAGCTCCAAGGTAAATAATGCTATTACTAGCCATACTACCATTCACTATAACAACCTTAGCCGTGACAAGGACTGTTCAGAGTCTATGACGCGAAACATGTTTAAGTGGCTTCGCGAAGCAGACGGGTTTCCCGTTGCCGAACGAGCTATTAAAGAGCATGAATGGATTAACGGGGGGTGGAGCTCGGAGGAAGAAAGTGTCGCACCAGAGGGTGATGGAAAATCGACCATAAACCGACAAGTTGGACCATGGATATGCCGGGGAAGAACGACTAAATGTAACACAATTTAAACATGTTATAGCTAGAGTGCATGACATCCACCACTAGCTTCTTTTAGGTCTTTGCCTAGGGCTCAAATTTGCTCATATAAGGAATTGACAAAGAGTGGCGAGCAATAACTAGCTATTCGCTAAAGACGGCTGACCATGCACTGGCTGGAATGCAACTTCTTGGATCTCAACGCATGACTCGGACTCAGACACAATCCACCTGCTCCTTAATATTGCTGCAACGACATCTTCCTGCTCTCAGCCTTGTGTCCTTCAATTCTAGGGACGATTAACTTCCAGACGATGCTAACTGCGATATTCAGGTTGGCCAGCCACGGCGGATTGCACTCATTGTCACACGGTTACACGAGGGCTACGATCACGGGACCTAGGGCAGAGACCCTCACCGACTTCTTGTATTTATAGCGACCTTTGGTCCCTCAAGGACTTAGAAAACCAAGGACCTTTAATACCAAAGACTGTTATTAGATGAATTGAGCTATTAGCTCCAAGCCCTCCTTGAGCCCTTGTCACACTCATGGTCCAATTTGCATCGCTGCTGTGGGTCGGTAATTCTGGGCCAAACTTCGCCTGTTCCGAACGCCTGGTGAATCCACTATCGACTAGTCTTGAGAAATTTTCTCGGAACTCTACCGCGATATTATCGGAACGCGAAATAAAATCTCAGATTCTAGGTCAAGCGAACCGGGTCATAGATTTTGCCATCGTCTTGCAAATGTGCCCTTCGGCTATAATGGATCCTAACACGTTCACCTAGGTTTAATCATTTTCAGTCCCACTCAACTCAGCTCTCAAATAGTGGCATTCATCTTTATTAGCCGATAAAATAACTGAACTCAAGGCTAGAACTAATAAACTCAAGTCCCTGTTTAGGGTGATTTTAACCTCTCCTTTAACGTCGTTAGTAGCTTCTGAGGGAAACAATTCATCTGTATTCGCCTCTAGACAGGTGCAAACGATATCTGCCGTAAATATAGGCGATAATTTGGTTAAGAACCTTTTTAAACTCGCCCTATCTAACTCGTTCTCGAACATAATTACCATCAAGGACCTATATTAAGTTAAGTGGAAGGACGCTATTAAACTACTCGATAAAGTTTAGAGTCCTTAATCCACGATCTAAGACTAAATCATATAATTTCTGGATTCTGGATTCTTTGGTTCATAGTTTTAAATACACTAATAGCGCCGCCAATAGGAATGTGGGATGCACGGCCCTGGATAGAATAGATTGTTCTCCAATAGCTGCGTCGCGTAGGACGATTAGGTTTTAATTCAGGATTTTAGTGGTTGGACTCTATTGTTAAGACCCGTGATAGCGGCATCTAGCATTTTAAATTAAGCACCTTCCTCTTAGTTTCGTGTAGCGTGTCTTGGGTGCTTGTAGAGTTAAATGTCAGAAAACTGGTTCAAAGCGTTGAGTATGCACACAGTGTCCCAAGACTCGGCGCGGTGGAGCACTAAAACGACCGAGCCTCCTGGTTTGAGGCGATTCATTGCAACATTTTGGAGATGTGCTCGGCGGGAGTCCTGCGACAAAAAATCCATTTTTCCTATTTAATGTTATTTGAAAGACAGCTACCTTAACGCTTTAACCGGTAATCTGATGGCGTCGCTGAACTCGGATCAAGCACGAAGTCGAGTTATGCGCTAGAAAACGCTCGCAGAAATCAGACGCTTGTTTGCTTTGGTTGAAGAAAAGGGTGCCCAGCCAATTCGCCTGCGGTTTTTCTCGCATCTGGGCGCCAGACAAGCATCCCCTTGGCGAGGTCCAAAAATGCTTCCTTCTCCTCTCCCCCAAGGAATGATGCTTTGTCCCCTAATTTGTGGTCGGAGATCAGGTCTTCGTAGAGGAAGCGGCCTAAAATGTTTAGTGAGTCTGAGAATAATTCGATCGAGATGAGAAAACCAGTAATACCTTTTTCGTCAAAGAATGGCCCACAGAAGTACTCCTCCGCGGTCTCGCATACTTTGCCGTCTTCTCTTCTGACAGCCGTCGGCCACGAGTACTCTCGCATATACTGATATCTTTTTATGACTTCTGGAACGCCTGGTGAATCCACTATCGACTAGTCTTGAGAAATTTTCTCGGAACTCTACCGCGATATTATCGGAACGCGAAATAAAATCTCAGATTCTAGGTCAAGCGAACCGGGTCATAGATTTTGCCATCGTCTTGCAAATGTGCCCTTCGGCTATAATGGATCCTAACACGTTCACCTAGGTTTAATCATTTTCAGTCCCACTCAACTCAGCTCTCAAATAGTGGCATTCATCTTTATTAGCCGATAAAATAACTGAACTCAAGGCTAGAACTAATAAACTCAAGTCCCTGTTTAGGGTGATTTTAACCTCTCCTTTAACGTCGTTAGTAGCTTCTGAGGGAAACAATTCATCTGTATTCGCCTCTAGACAGGTGCAAACGATATCTGCCGTAAATATAGGCGATAATTTGGTTAAGAACCTTTTTAAACTCGCCCTATCTAACTCGTTCTCGAACATAATTACCATCAAGGACCTATATTAAGTTAAGTGGAAGGACGCTATTAAACTACTCGATAAAGTTTAGAGTCCTTAATCCACGATCTAAGACTAAATCATATAATTTCTGGATTCTGGATTCTTTGGTTCATAGTTTTAAATACACTAATAGCGCCGCCAATAGGAATGTGGGATGCACGGCCCTGGATAGAATAGATTGTTCTCCAATAGCTGCGTCGCGTAGGACGATTAGGTTTTAATTCAGGATTTTAGTGGTTGGACTCTATTGTTAAGACCCGTGATAGCGGCATCTAGCATTTTAAATTAAGCACCTTCCTCTTAGTTTCGTGTAGCGTGTCTTGGGTGCTTGTAGAGTTAAATGTCAGAAAACTGGTTCAAAGCGTTGAGTATGCACACAGTGTCCCAAGACTCGGCGCGGTGGAGCACTAAAACGACCGAGCCTCCTGGTTTGAGGCGATTCATTGCAACATTTTGGAGATGTGCTCGGCGGGAGTCCTGCGACAAAAAATCCATTTTTCCTATTTAATGTTATTTGAAAGACAGCTACCTTAACGCTTTAACCGGTAATCTGATGGCGTCGCTGAACTCGGATCAAGCACGAAGTCGAGTTATGCGCTAGAAAACGCTCGCAGAAATCAGACGCTTGTTTGCTTTGGTTGAAGAAAAGGGTGCCCAGCCAATTCGCCTGCGGTTTTTCTCGCATCTGGGCGCCAGACAAGCATCCCCTTGGCGAGGTCCAAAAATGCTTCCTTCTCCTCTCCCCCAAGGAATGATGCTTTGTCCCCTAATTTGTGGTCGGAGATCAGGTCTTCGTAGAGGAAGCGGCCTAAAATGTTTAGTGAGTCTGAGAATAATTCGATCGAGATGAGAAAACCAGTAATACCTTTTTCGTCAAAGAATGGCCCACAGAAGTACTCCTCCGCGGTCTCGCATACTTTGCCGTCTTCTCTTCTGACAGCCGTCGGCCACGAGTACTCTCGCATATACTGATATCTTTTTATGACTTCTGGAGGCGGTGGACCGAGTAAGCCTATCATTTCAGCCATGTGTAGTTTAGCATCGTAGCGACCTTCTCCATCATGAAGATGCCGAAATAACTCTTTGCCTTCGATCATATCCCACAACTGGTCTGGCATTAGTGGATGCAACAACTCTGCAGAACACCGGAACGCACCAGAACACCAAGGTTCCAAATATCCGCAGGCATTTGCCATCCATTACCCAGTATCACCTCTGGTGCCCGATAGTGGTCTGGCTGAATAGGCCAAACGCCCCAGTCGTCGTCTTCCTCGAGTGTGGTCGCCAAGCCAAAGTCGACAAGCTGTGGTATACTTCTCAGGCTTTTGAGTGGCCCAAAGTCATTACGGGATTGATACACTGGCCGTCCCGCCGAATCAATCTTGAAAGCCATTGGTTTTGTAAGTTGCGAATCAACGAAATCAACAAGCACGGTTGGATCTTCGAATGAGACCATGATGTTCTCAAGCTTTAGATCTAGACAGACACTTGGGCTCAGTATTGCCAACGAGAATCAAAGCAGAAGGTGAACCTACCTGTATGAACTGTCCGGCATACTTTATGCAGATAATCAAGCCCCGTAAGCAGAGCACGAATGTACGTTTTAATGAGGGGCAGTGGCATCTTTCTGTCGTTAAAGCGCCGCTGATACATCGACTATGGTTCCCTCATAGGCGGATACACAAGACATGGGTAAGAACCTTCTGGGCCTTTAACTTCAAAAGAGTCGAGTGATGTTCGGATCAGTGAGCGACCGCGATGTGATGGGTCCGCCGTGGAAATATGCTCTTCAACTTCACGCTCATGATCAGCGGAACTCGCTTTACTATTGACAATTTTCAGTGCCACGATGCTCTCTGGCTCTTCGACATGCCTGTATGTTTGTTAGGAATAGGGAGAGCTTCGAAATGGGCAGAAATTATTGAAGGCTACCCTTGCAAATCACGCGCGAGCCATACTGTTGAAGATACGCCCCAGCCAACCTTGACCAAGGTTTGGTAACGATCGGCGAGTACCTCTCCAGGCTTCGCTGGGTAGAAGCACTTGGAATCGTATACTGGCGAGATCTCTTCATCAATGAGTATGCCGGGCGGTAAACGTGGTCCGAGACTCGGGAGAAGACATGGGAAACGGTTCTTGCGAAGCAAGGCGGAGAAACGAGGAATGAATGGCTTTGTAGTGTTCATTACAGAGTTACTTCCGTAAGCCGACGGAAGAATATGATGTCAGTGGTGGTTGAAGAAGGTGGGCTGATTTGATTTGATTACAAGACCCTGATGCCAACGAGTTATATCAGCCTCCTAGGGGTTGGTAAAGTGGGAGGAATTTACTTCTGTAATTAAGGTAAGTAATTATTGTTGTGATTATCACCACCCTAGGGCGTGGTGTTGTCCGGCCCGGCCGAACGCGCCCGCGCACCAATGACCCTGATTGGTTGGAATAAGGTTGACCCGACCCGATGTGTCGGGCCACACACGTGACGACCCGCAAAAGGGGTCACCGCGGCAACAACACCACATATAAATGTCACGATGCCTCGCACACGTAGCTAGCTAGCTTCTCTCTTAGATATGCATTATTGAATTGAATTTGTTACACCCACCTGTAGATATCTACACTTTCCCTTATGAAACCTACAATTATAATACCAATTAATATTAAGTTATTAATTATAAAATTATAAAAAATATAAATAAAAAAGAGGTTAAATAAAAAATATTTAATAGTATTATATTTTAATTATACTTTAATTAAGAAATTATAATTAATCACGTAAAATATTATAAGTACACGTATTATAATACGTTTAATAATTTTATATTAGCTCTTAATTTAATCTTGCTTCACCTAGTAACTTATATTATATATTATTATGTTAATGTACTCTTCAGCTGTAAGGTTAATGAGCCCGAGCGATGCACAGACCACTTGGAGGAATTTCCTAGGGGCATTTTGAACCGCGGCAGATGAAACCGAACCTGTCACTAGTCTCATGTCTCACATGACTCTCGCTTACTAGGGGAAGCAAAAAAAGAAAAGCTACACGGTCTCAGTCAAGCATTGAGCCTTTAATATTTAATGCCTGATCATCGTAGTCTTTTACATGGAAATGCATGGTACGAAGCACATTCGCTGCCCTTTCAGGTCTCATTATCATGGCAAAGAAAAGCGGCATACACAATTAGTCGCTAAAAATTTCATTCATTTTTTTGGTCATGTCCTGAAACCTGCAACACCGTTGATGAATCCCTTAGCCCTCAATGCACAAATGGTATAAGACAGCTTAAATCTTGGTGGCAGCCTCCACAGCCTTCTGCTTCTTGGCAATGCGCATCTGAGCCTTGGCGCCCATGATGCCACCACCCCACTGTCGGCGAGTCTGCTCGTGCTTCTCCATGAAGCCCTCCTTGATGGAAGAGACGAGCTTGGAAAGCTCAGCCTTGTCCTCTGATCGGACCTCGGTGAGGGCCAGAACAGCAGCGGTCTAAAATTGGATTTGTTAACATGTGACATTCGGGGAGAGCAAGCTTCGTAGGAATTCTGACGAACCTTCTTGTGGACGACAGTGCCGAGACGGGCCTTGCCCTTGACAATGGCGTAGGGGACGCCCATCTTCTTGCAGAGAGAAGGCAGGAAGACAACCAACTCAATGGGGTCAACATCATTGGGGATGAGGACCAGGGAAGCCTTCTTGTTCTCAATGAGACCGACAACGTGGTTCAAGCCGTACTTGACGATGTAAGGCTTCTTGCTGACGTCCTCCTTCTTCTTGCCCTCTTTGACCGCGGTAGCCTCCTTCAGGAGACGCTCCTTCTTCTCGACCTTAGTCTCAGGGCGGTACTTGTTGAGGAGCTTGAAAGCCTGCGCAGCAGTGTTGCGGTCGAGGACGTGCTGGAACTGGGACAGCGCAGGGGGGACCTTCAGGCGCATCTGAAGGATCTTCTTCTGGCGCTGGAGACGGACATACTCGGGCCACTTAACCATGCGGGAGAGGTTTCGCTTGGGCTGGATGTCCTGGCCGATGCCGTAGTTGCGGGGGCGTTTCTCGATGAGAGGGTTCTGCAAAATTCCCCGTCAGTCCAAATACCCCCCTTCAAAACCTCAGAAGCGGAGGAATGTACACACCTTAGGAGCCTTCTTCGAGCCAGCCTTTCCCTGAGGGAAAGGGGCAGGGGCCACCTTCTTTCCAGTCTTGGGGGGCTGTCATTGAGAAAAGAAGACATTAGCGAGTTGCTCAAGCTAAACGGTCTTCTCTGAACTCTAACGAGATGATTGGGAAAACATGGCAATGTTTCAGCGCATGCCCGCATCTCCAGCCAAGTCTTCACCTCTACGTCTCCCACACCCAAAACGCAACATCTTGTATGTGTTCGACGAGTCGGCGGAATTTCCAGCAGCGTCGCAAAAGAAAAATTGTCGACGCCGAGGATCAAATAGCGCTTTCACGCATTTGACTCACAAACTGTGGCCATTAGAGTCTTGCGTGGGTTAGAAACTTACCATCTTGTCTTGATCGGCGGTGCTCAGTCGTGAAGAGCAGAGGTGCTTGCAGCCGAGATGGATGTGTTGTCAGAAGATCAAGGAAGAAAAAGTTGTGTTGGATGGTGGGCGAAAAATTAGGGCTTCGCTGTGTGCCACACCCGCTAGCGCGGACTGCCCCACACCAAGCAGGCCAGCATGTGGCTGGGCTGTGGCTGGAAGCGTAGTATCACGTGCTCATCGTGGTTGTGCAAGTTCTTTTCGCGGCTGCCCAATCATGTTCTTCGATTCAGGCAAAGTCGACATTTAGAAAGAGTGTGACTGGCTGACATACTCTATATAGAGGATTTCTTCATATCAGAGCCGCTCGGGCTTTGCAGTACACATGTTTTGAAGAGCAGAGCCAGACTTCAAAGACGGCACTCAAGATTTCTGTCCTCTAGACATCCACTTCGTACTACTTTTATTGAAGGCGCACACTTCACTCACTTGTCTTGAGACAATGCCTCCGGCCGCTTGCCTTCGGTGTGGGAACCGGGCAGTCATAAAAAGACCAAAGAACCACCACAAATTATGTAAGGAATGCTTCCTCTCGGCATTTGAAGATGAAGTTCATCACACCATAACTTCATCCAAGCTTTTTTACCCCGGAGAAAAGGTTGCAATCGGCGCATCGGGTGGTAAAGACTCAACCGTCTTGGCATCAGTCTTGAAAACATTAAATGAGAGGCACAATTACGGCCTTGATTTGGTGCTATTGAGTATTGACGAAGGCATCAAAGGATATCGGGATGATTCACTCGAGACAGTGAAGCGGAATGCCGTCCAATACGATATGCCACTAAAAATCGTCGGCTACGATGAACTTTTTGGATGGACCATGGATCAAGTAGTCGAGACCATAGGGAAGAAGGGAAATTGCACGTATTGTGGTGTTTTTCGTCGACAGGCTCTCGACCGTGGAGCCAACTTGTTGAACATCAAGCATGTCGTTACAGGACACAACGCTGACGATATCGCCGAGACGGTCCTTATGAACTTGTTGCGAGGCGACTTACCTCGCTTATCACGGAGCACGAGTATTGTTACTGGCAGCGCCTCCACCGGTATTCAAAGAAGCAAACCGCTGAAATACGCATACGAGAAGGAAATCGTGCTCTATGCACACCACAAAAAATTGGATTACTTCAGCACGGAATGCATCTACAGCCCGGAGGCATTTCGCGGGACTGCCCGTACACTTATCAAAAGCTTGGAGAAGGTACGACCAAGTGCAATATTAGATATTGTGAGAAGCGGAGAAGATATGGCACGGCTCACTCCAGATAAGAGCCAAGATGCATGCGCGTGTGACGATGGCGAAGGAATGGGAGGGTGCGGATCAGCAAACGGGCGGACTTCTGGCGGGGAACTCGCAGAAATGGAGGCTGCATTGAAATCAAAGCACAAGCCGACGGAGCTTGAGACTGAGATTAATTCCAATGGAACATCAACTGACGATGGATCTATCAAGCTCCCCCTTCGTGGCCGAAGACAGCAAAAGGGGCAGAGGCAACGACCAACAGGACCGCTGCAAACTCTCGGGGCGTGCATCAAATGCGGATACATGTCCAGCCAACAAGTATGCCATGCCTGCACGCTTTTGGAGACTTTGAACAAGAACCGGCCAGAAGTCTCAATATAAAAAATTGGCCAAAAGATCACAGTAAAAAAACAACTATATTCAACACCCAGCACCTAACGGATCACTGTGAAATGATTTCCCGACTTGAAGGAATCTGTGCTTTGCTTTTCTTCAACGCCAGGATTGGCCATTTGTCAGGCCGTATATATACACTGTTGATTGATGTTTGCCCTCGATTATTCCATCGTCTGGGTTTAAAATGGTCCCTAGCTGAAGCGCTTTTCCAGCTGTACCACAGTTCAGCAGCTTTCTTCGTTTATGTGTCAGCATTGAGATGGTCATACCTTCCAACCATTTGAGAATTCGAACCCCGGTGGTGCTTCTGGCTTGTCTGTCTGCCCTCGCAACGTGCCAGTAAGTCTGCGATCGCGGTCCATCACTTGAAAAGAATGGGTTAGTCTGTATTTGGTTGCTATTAAAGGACAAATATTTCGTTCAAAAGCTAACTTTGCTGCAAATAAAATTAGCCAGGTTTTCAACAACCAAAGATTGAATCATATTCACATACTCTGTCCCACTGGTCCAGTGAGTATCGTGGTCGCTTGCCCTCGTTACGCCACGTCTTGACGACGGCAAGGCCGGTCCCTGTGACACCAAACATCTGCAGCTTCTCGTCAGAAATTGTTCATGTAAGGTACCAAGTTCAATAGAATATTCACATACGCCAATCATAATGGCATAGGGCAGTAGAGTCTCGAACGGAACGGGCATTTTGGACGTCGGGCCGCTGCAGCGGGCTTTTTGATCCTTGCAATGTATTCCAATGTGTTGTGACGTTCGATTTCTGGGCCGGTGCGCCTGAAAGTCGTTCAATTGGCGTGTTGTAATGTCTTTACTCTCGGTCGATGACGAGGTCTTGAATTGCATTTCGTGAGATTGGCTGGAAAGCTGATCTTCGACTCCAGAATTGATGCCTCAGGCGCCCCGCGAGCCGCAGCTCTCACCCCTGCCACAGGACAGTTGGATTCATTGGCCAAATACACTGTGACAGCACACCTATTCCAGTGGGCTATCTCGCGTTATCCAGATCGTCGCGCACTGTATCCAGACGCATTTCGCGACTCCGTGGTAACATGCGGTAGAACACGCGCCTGGGGCTCAACGTGAAGCTTTGCGACAATCATCAGCGAATAGCCAAGCCCTGGCAATTTTCCTACAGATGCAAGGTTTGTTTTTGTGATGGTATTTTGCAACATAGATCTGACAGCGTCGCAGGGCCAGCGGTCCAAGCCTGTACCTGATTACCGTGTCAAACCTACCATGGTTACTACCCGCAAACACCTCCGACTATCTCTCGTCGCAAACCCTGTTTTGAAGCGAAATGCTCGAATTTGAGAAAAGCATATACATTCTCTGTTTAATGAAGCAAGGGTCATGATGCCAAGTGCGCAAGCCATGGAAGAAGAGCTCCAACAGAGCGTCATGCTCTCCGAAGACGGCGAGTACGACACCGCTGATACGGGCGACCAGGCACCGTCGTCAATCACCCGTCCACGCTCGCAGAAAAATGGAGATGTCGAAGTTTCTGGCAGCGATGATGAAGAACTGAGTGATCAAGATGCTTCTGGGGAGGAGCTGGAGCAAGATGCCTCTGGCGAGGAAGACAACGACCGGATGGACCAACAAATCGTCGTGGGCAGCGCCACACCGGGTCATGGAGAAGAATATGACGAAGATGCAGAAGGAGAGGATGACCTGGACGAAGAAATTGGTGCGGTGAAAGTTAAGCCTGTTGATTCTGAAGACGAAGAAATGGGAAGCGATGGCTCTGACGCACAGAGTGCTGCAGAGGAAGAAGAGTCCGACGACGAAGAGGATGAAGAAGATGAGGAAGGGGCATGGGAAGAAGGTGATGCCGGAGACGAAGACGAGGAGTCCGACGCTGTGCAATCGAATACTTGCATGTTTTGCAAACAAGACGAGGAAAATGACCCAAGTGAGGATTTTGAAGCCTTCCTTGCTTGCACCCGTTGTGGTGAGAATGGTAAGGCCATCCCTGATGCAAAAATGTGACTGGAGCGTTTTTGCTAACAGTTTCGTAGCACATCAGCAATGTGCCCGTGATGCTGCGGCGATGACTGAAAAAAACAGTGGGTTCCCTATTAGAGATGACGGCCTTGCTTAGATGCTGACTTTGAGGTAGATTCGAAAAGATGGAAATGCCCAGAATGCTTCAATGAAGAATCTGAGAGCGAGGATGATAATGACGATGCGGATGACATTGATGCGGTCAGCGCCGAAGATGGCGAAGCACCCACTGGCTCTGAACGATCGCATGCATCAAAACTAGGGGTTGATTCAACCCCTGTGGCGTTGGCAAACGGTAGTTTGGGTGATCGCTCTGGAACTGACGAGCTTGTCCTCGAGGATTCTCCTATAGACGGCTCTAGGCCGGTGCGGAAGCGCAAGTCGGCATCTGCAGAGGCAGACGATGCCACGTTGGCGATTAGGAAGCGTCGCAGGAATCAGTCAATTGACGGCACGGATCGAGACGACTCTGCTCGGGATAGTCGTTCCGGCGACGCTGCAAGGGCTCCATCATCAAGAACCATGCGGCTCAAAGCCACACGACCGCCGCCGGTCACTATCGCGAAACGATCGCGTACTTCTCTACTAATCAAAATCGAGGTTCGCCCAGGCAATCTCAAAGAAATTCTATCGAGGCGGAAGCGGGATCGACGACGGGTAGGGGGAAGTAGCGCTCGGCCACAGGCACCACGATCTACGCCAGCTCGCCCTCCCGCTACTCCGGCTTCTACTGGAAATCTACCGGCCCTCATTTCCACCATGCCAACCCCATTTACATCGGAATCATACTCCCAACCGTTTTATTCCTTCTTTGATAAAGAGACGGAGGAGATGAAAGGAAAGCCTTATGGTGGCATATTAACAGAAGCCGAGGCAGACACATCCAAAACCCTTCCGTCTCCTGAGGATCGCAAGAGATTCGAGCACGCCAAACAGAAAGCTGAAGACGAATGGAGAGCTCGTGTACTGGCAATGCAGGCAGAAGCTGACTTACCTATCCGCAAGCCTAAGAAGACAAGCGATAATGCCAGTCAGATCGAATGCATTGAGTTTGGTGGGTGGGAAATTGATACCTGGTATGCTGCGCCTTACCCCGCAGAATACAGCAGGAATCGCGTCTTATACATTTGCGAATTTTGCCTAAAGTACATGAACTCGGACTATGTGGCATGGCGTCACAAATTAAAGTGCGGCACAAAGCACCCACCGGGAGACGAAATTTACCGTCACGAATCCGTCTCCATATTTGAAGTTGATGGTCGAAAACATCCCGTCTATTGCCAAAACCTTTGCCTTCTCGCGAAGCTGTTTCTTGGCTCCAAGACGTTGTATTATGATGTAGAACCATTTTTGTTCTATGTTCTTTGCGAGTTCGACGACACTGGCTATCATTTTGTGGGCTACTTCTCAAAGGAGAAGCGGGCTAGCAGCCAAAATAATGTGTCCTGTATTCTAACGCTGCCCATTCATCAGAGGAAGGGCTATGGGAATCTACTCATCGACTTCTCTTATCTTCTCACCAAGGCCGAAGAAAAGACTGGCTCTCCGGAAAAACCACTGTCGGATATGGGCCTAGTCTCATACCGCAATTACTGGCGCTTGGAACTCTGTCGATACTTCCTCGGCTACATGGAAAGCGATGCACGTAGACGCGAGGGATTGAGTATCAAGAAGATATCCATCAATACCGGAATGACACCTGACGACGTTGTCTCTGCTCTAGAAGGATTGCGAGCCTTGGTGCGAGATCCCCAAACCCACCTCTATGCTTTCCGGGTGGACTTGGATTACTGTCGTAATTATGTTAGCAAGTGGCAGTCGAAAGGCTACGTACAGTTAAAGCCAACAGCTCTCGCCTGGACACCATATGTCATGGGCCGAAGTAACGTAGTCAATTTCGAGCTTGGCCCGCCAATCAACACTATTGCCCCTAGAGAGGACGATGAGGCCAAGATTGAAGAGGGGACTACTCTGACAGCGGCTCATGCGCGCGGCATGCAAAGCACTTTGAATGGCGTTGACAAGTCCGATTCGCAGCCAGAGTCCACTCTTGCTAGCCAGCAAGGCAGCGAACAGCCCGCGTTACCAGTCAAGTCTATCGAGAAGGTCAAGACTGAAGACAAGGAAAATGCGGATCCGGAAGATCAGGGCATGGTGGATGCAACGGCCAATGTTGAACCAGAGTCCTGGGATGCGCCATACAGGGACATTCCTGCGTCCCGGTTCGAGGTCTTCCCACCGGTACCAGGAGGTCGCCGTGACCGGAACCGGACCAGTGTGAGCCGGCCATCGGCTCCTCGCAATGGCAGCAGCTCATCCGCCAGGCCCAGGCCCAGGTCTAGGCCAAGTGGCAGTGCCCGTCGACCTGCTGCCAGTCGACCGCGCAACAACAGCTCGAGACGGAAATCTGGAGGGACGGGACGTGGTCCTGGGCGGTGGCCAAAAGGAACTAAAAAGTCCGACTATGGTAATGCGGACAGTGGGCCAGGCCTCCCACCTGGCTGGAAAGAAAAACAGGCCCGGCTCAAGGCTTTGGCCGAGGGCAGGGACCCCGGACCGGCAGAGAATCCGGATGAAAAGCCGGCGGAAGACGAAGTCCGAGTACTTGTTTCTACGGCAGGGACCAACCAGAGCAAGGCGGCCAATGGCAGTTCCAAGGTTTCAAGACGCGATTTGGATTCTGGGTCTGGAGGTGGGAACGGTGCCTCAGATGGCGAAGACGTCGATGCAGAAGGGGAAGATGAATGATTGATGATATCTCGGACCATCTCTTGGTAAGGCGGTAACCATATTTATCCTGTTTTAATAGTATCAAATGCGTATTGGCGAATTTAGGGAACTGGTGGGGCAAAGGATGCAGCCCTGTTTTGTAGGGTGTAGGTTTAGGATCTTGGGTGATTGACTTCACAAGAGCGATGTATAACACGAAGACTACAAAGGTTCAAACCAAGAAATAGGCTCCTCGCAAAGTGTCAGCTCGTAATGCATGGATAATTGATAAGCATTCATTGACGCAAACATTGCCGTGACGATGACGAATTGACTACGATCATGTCCGGTCCTTGGCGCAAGCACCAGTCCAGCCCAGCCGACATCAGTTCAAGATCCGATGATCTCGACCAGTTGTTGGCAACCTTGACTTCAATGTGACCAAAGTCGGCCTCCATCGGCTACACAGACGAATCGAGTCAGACCTCATCGTCTTCCAGCACAAAGCCGGCCCCTGCCACGCGGCCGAGATTCAGAATCATCAACACCCTACTCCTCCCTTCTACGCGCCATGATTCCTCTCCTCCCAGAACCCCTTCCCATAGCTCACCAAAATCTCCTCCCCCTTCCGTATCCCCCCGTCCTTCTTCCCCTTGCCCTTGCCGCCGCCGTCCTTCCCACAGACCCAAACGCCAACGCAAACCTGGCCCCATCTCTCACACCAGCCCGTCCCAAAAACGGCATTCGCCCTGTCCCTCACGCCCCTGTAGTCGTTCACGAACCGGCCCTCGTTCCCTTCCGCCGCGGCATCTACCGCAACGTCCGCCTCTTTATCCAGCCACAGATCGTAGTCGCTCTCCTCTGATGACTTGGCTCCGCTGTGTACTCTGCCCAGGTACGCGAGTATAAATGCCCCCGGTTTGAGGTTCTGGGCCGCAAAGAGGCCGAACTGGCCGTTGGCGGGGTGTGACGCATCACGAATCGACTGTATCTTGACGTTGGGGGAGGGCGTGAGGGTTGATGAAGCGGGGAGGGAGGGCAAAGAGGCCGGCTTCGCGCACAGGGCCTGGACTTGGTTTGGTGCTAGGTCTTTGGCGTGGAGCGGGCATTTGAGGTAGGGGAGGTGGTCGGGCCAGTTCTTGGGCTTGGACATGATCCAGGTGAGGGCTTCGTCAATCGGGAAATTTGCATGTACATGGCATCATCATCCCAAGACGTGAGGTCTTGGCGAGGGTGGATATCAATCAGGCCAAGCTTGGTGGTCTACGCCCAACATCATGCCTCACTCCCAGTCACTTCCTGACATGTCCAAAACAAAAACACGGGCACTTGAAACAGAACCTCATGGCAAGGCATTAATCGATTCTATCTAAAACGCTACTATTCTACAGACCTTCGCCTCCACGTCCTGCCCCTTGACAGCCGCCTATTCCTATGTAAAAGCCTTCACGATTGGCTTTCCGACCTCTTACCCATTCCACCAAACTAGCGTCCTCTGCAAGTCAGTTTACACTTGATGTCCCCAGCTTTCCTACGATGCTTCATTTCCCTGTTAATGGGACATTACCTCCCGGTATCGATCCATACTAAGATCCACCGAATACGCAAGCAGCCGATCTTGCGTCAACGGCAGGTTCAAGATCCTCGATCGCAGTTCAGCATCCTAGTCATAAAGTCAGAAATGCAAACCTTTCAGGGGAGTGCCCGTATAATTCCCTGTGACGTACCTGTTTCTTCTTGGCCAACTTCAGTATTTCCCGTGCTGTATCGTCTGCCATGTCAGACACTGCAGCATATCGCAAGACTTCCGTCTCTCCCACATGCTCGTTCATCACGTTCAATCCTGCCATCAACTTTTCAAGCAATGTATGAGGGGGGCTCTCGCCCTTGCCACGGTGCTGCACGAGACTCAAGAAATAGCCATATATCTCGCCACCTTGGGTCCACTCCGGGATGGACTCAGCTTGGCCCTGGAATTGTGACAGCAGGGACGAGAGTGAAGCGTAGTCTCGTTCAATAACAGCTTGGGGAGCAACTTGTTGTACCAGGACCCGGTGGGCTTCACCAAACTCCCCGGCACGGAGGAGGCAATGCACCTCGGCTGAAGCATCCTTCTTGACACTGCGCATGTACAACGCGAGCGCTTCCCATAGCCAGGATGCGGGAATTCGAAACTTTTCCGTCAGCAATGTAAAGGTCGCACCAGTGTCGGGGCCAATCATGCCAGCATGTCGACATAAATGTTCCCGAATTGCCTTCACACGGACGCTTGAGTTGTTGAGGTGCAACAAGACAAAGACTGCCTCCAACCACTCACCCGCCGCCGTCAGCTGAGAGGCATATGCAATTGTGGAAGCATCCGCCTTTTCATCTCCGTTCTTGCCAAACGACACCTGGCCGGTGGAAAGCAACGCCTGTCCAAGTTGCCAGGACAGTCTCATATTGAGCGGAGAGAGTTGCGAGTTTTCTGGCCGCAAGATGGCCTCAAGGTCGACGTTCTTATCGGCATACAGCTGAAGGAGGCCCCATAGAAGGTCCTGCCTGGTCCCTTCTTCCGCATCATTCCATACAGGTTTCAGTCCTTGTTCGTAGTACCATGGCCGTGGAAGTTCCTCCTTGTCTTGGTTGATGTCGTCCTTGAACTTTAAAACGGCCAGCGCGGGACTATCCTGCTGGGAAATGGCGTACCACAGACGAAGGCCAAACGCCTGTCTCCAGTCCAAGCCAAACTTCTTCGAAATAACAAACGATTCCATTCGATCCTCAACAGGAACATTTTTTACCCCTTCACAAACACACACGTTGCCGCTTAGTAGCTCGTAGACAGTGCGAATTGCCTCTGAAAACTCTGAGAGCATTTTCGAATCATGCCAAGCCTTGAGCTGTTCACGGATGTCCTTCTTCGCCACGTCGCTCGTGCCGATCAGAGGGACCAGAGTTGCCAAGCGGAAATTCTTACCATCGAGCAAGAATTTGCACGCCTCGGTGATACGGTGACCCGCCAGGCTTGCTACGGCCTTCTCTTCACTAGAACCAGCAAGACCAACATTAGTGCTCGATGCTTGTTCCACAAGCTCAGTCCAAAATTGTGACAACTTCTGTTTTCTTGACATGTGGTCGGAACCGGGCTCGCCAGAGTTTGCGACACCGTCAAACAAAATGCTTGCCAGCTCCCAGACACGCTTCTCGTTGACATGTCCCGGGTCATTCATCTCCTGGTGGTGAAAAATGTCTTGCAGACTGCCCGCACGTAGCGTAGCCATTGGAATTTCGCCAACTAATCTGATTTCTGTTACTTTGTCCTGAGCCCGAAGGAATTTCTTGGATGACTGTTCAGATCAGTTATCTATGTGCATTTTGGGGACTGGTCGACCAGAAGAGCATACCTCCATGGAAAGCTTGGCGAGGCGAATGTCTTGCCTATCTGTTTGAATTCCGGATCGTTGGAATTGAAGAAGATCCGAATTGCCACGGAAACTTCGACGGAATGTTATTGTATCCAACGATCGTGTTACTACCAGCGTCTCGTCGAGACCCCAAGTTGGGCGAGGGGCGTTATGATATGCTTTTTCTTCACTGTCGACGGAAAAATTCTTGTCTTGACGTTCGTAGGGCCACTAATTTGAAAGAAAGTAAAATTTAGTAATCGATTTATTTCCCAAGCTGTTAAATACATGAGTATCGAGAATCGCCAAATATTTTTCATTCTGACGTGAGTGCAAACTGAAAATTTCAACTGTAGACTAGAGCACCAACCTGAGGAAAGCCTTTGGCTGGCACAGAAGCGCGAAGGTTTTGTCGCACTGGCTTGGGCTTCTCAAACAGAGAATTCATCAAGTCGATGCTTGTCGCGAATCCACGTCCCTTGTCCGCTGCCATTTGCGTGCTTGCGAGACCACTTGTTCTCTCTGTTTTTGACATGCTCTTCCCCCAAATAGACGATTTGCGCAAGTCTTGTTCAATGTTGTCGTCTCCACCATCCATCCCCAAGGCAAACTTGGAGGGAGAATCATTCATTTCCCTCAACATTTGACGGTCTCGCTTCACAGGACTGACTGTTTTCCTAAGCATTTCCATCCAATCATCGCCATCGGCAACTTCGAGAGTCACCGGCCCAACTTGATCCTTCATGGCTCTCATGCGAGCTCTAAGAATGCCACCGGGAGTGCCCCTCTTGGCATCCTGTTCATTCTCTGACGAGGTATCGTCGAGCTCCGCGGCAAGATGCTGTCCAATGGAAGACCTCGTCATACCTTCATCCTCGGACAGATCATATTCGTCGCCCCTTTCACTGGCGTAATCCTCCTCCAGTGAAAGTTTAACATCATTGGGCGCCGAATCCGCGGAGCTAATCCCTAAAAAAGACTGCTTACCGATATTTTCACGCTCATACAAATCGTCTTGTTCATCGAATGCTCCTGGCAGGGCCGCGTTCTGGCGGAACTGCGGACGGCCGTCTTCACGGGTTAAAACATCCATGGCAGCGGCGTCGTTGGAGACGCGCTGAGGTGGTGTGGCTAGACCGGGTGGAGGAACCATTTCCTCGTCTGATTCTTCATCAGAGTCGTCCAGACCATACGTGGTGAAATGCTCGACGCCAAAGGTCCAGACGCCTGTGTCCTTATCATAGCTCTCGAAAGTGGTATCTGGGATTCTCTTCAGTCTCTCGATGTGCCTGTTGAATCGCTTGGGATCGCTAGTGATTCTCTTATCACGGCCACCGCGAGGCCAAGACTGTTCTAGAGAAATCTGGGCGGGAACATTGAGACCCTTGCCAACAGGGGGCTTTTTAGCTTGGACTGGATAAACGGTGGCCGACCGAGGCTCCAATTGAATGATACCACCGCACAAGTCGTCAAGCTCGATGCTGCTGATGTCAACCGGAACCTTGAATTTAATATAGCCAACGTTATCACGGCCAACCGTAAAGTTGTCCACACGCTGGCGCTGCATTCTGTTCATGTTTTGCAGCTCATCTCGAGTAGGCTTCATCCAGTAATCGCCAGGCGCATTCTCAAACCCGACTGGGGTGCGTGCTTCTGGGGTGGCAGAATTATCTTCCTCGTGCACAATAGCAAGTTCGTTGCCCTTGACCTGTTCCATTTCCGGGGTCTGGGAACCGTTCGTGCCATTAGTAGTTCTGTTCTGACGGGGAGTAGTCTCGTCAGGCTTGGGGGTGTCCTCGGGTGCAGGAAGAGCGTTCCGGACAGGAGTTCCGTCTTCCGACTCGACATTGCCAGTATCAAAGCTCACGCGCTTAGACAGCTTGCGAGCACTTCCATTGACTTCAGTCTTATCCTTCTGGGGGGTAGAGAACAAATCACTTCGAATATCTCGATTGATGACAAGCTTCTTGGAGCCCGTGCTGCCATACCAACGAGCACTGGAGCTGGAGGAAAAGGCGCCCGGAGCGAGGATGCTGTCCTCGGTATTGAAGCTACGGCGGAGGTTGCTCGCTGAGATACTCTTGCTTAGAGGGCCACTAGAGCTTGCGCCAAGGAGGCTACGGCCCATGGTACCGGGCGTGCTGGAAATGCTGCTAGCGGGGCTGCCACCGGGTGTGCCATAAGAGCTGTACGAGAATCCGAATCCTCTCTTCTGGGGAGTTGCAAAGCGCGAGGCAGCGGTAGCTGGGGCCAGCTTGTACATTGGGAGAATGGAACTCTTTCGCGGCTTCGAGTTGCCATTTAGAGGCGTAGCGAGAGGTCCAGGATTGGCAACGTCATTCCCACCAAGTCCAGCAAACAAGGACGGGCTTCCGTATGCCGAAACATCGCTTAGGTTAGCAGTCAAGCTTTGAGGAGCGTTGATGCTCTGTTGTGTGTTGCCCAGGAGGGAATTGCCCAGGGCATTCTGGTTTTGTTGCTGGTTGGTGCTCCCACCGAACAGGGAGCTGCCTTGTGCTTGGTTATTCTGGCCACCAAAGAGACCTCCTGTCTGGGTAGAGCTACCAAAAAGACCACCAGGCTTTTGCTGGTTGGTACTGGCTCCAAATAGGCCACCGCCCGTAGACTGCTGTTGTTGATTGCCGCCACCAAAGAGCGATGATCCGCCTGTCGTCGGCTGGGCAGTGCTGGTTCCCCCAAAAAGACCGCCGCCAGTAGCTGGTTTGTTACCGCCGCCGAACAAACCTCCTCCAGATGTTGCATTATTGGTGGCCCCGAAGAGGCCACCGCTGGTATTCTGTTGTTGCTGTTGTGTATTGCCGCCTCCAAAGAGCCCGCCGGTTGTTCCAGTCGCTGTGCTGTTCCCAAAGAGGCCACCAGCAGCAGGCTTTTGCTGATTGCCAAACAGACCACCACCTTGTTGATTCTGATTTTGCTGGCCGAATCCACCACCAAAGCCCGTTCCCGTATTTTGTTGCTGGTTGTTCTGGCCACCAAAAAGGCCTCCTCCGGTCGTCTGCGTGTTACTAGCATTGTTCCCGAATAGCCCTCCTCCAGTATTGGCTGTGTTAGATCCAAAAGCGGTTCCAGCTGTATTTGCCCCAAATGCAGATCCCGTGTTCGTATTCGCGTTGTTGGTGTTTCCGAAACTGAATCCGGTTCCCCCAGTCTTATTGGCAGTGTTGCCGAAGAGTCCACCACCAGCGTTGTTGGTGTTGGTTTGCCCGAAAGCTCCAGTGGTGTTCGAGCTACCAAATGCTCCTGTTCCGCCACCACCGAACAAACCTCCACCACCACTCTGCTGAGTCTGGGCGTTGCTACTGCCAAATAGACCACCAGCAGGCTTGTTACCACCACCAAAGAGGCCACCAGTAGCAGTGTTAGTAGAGTTGGCATTTGCGCCAAACCCGCCGCTTCCAAATCCAGTGCCTGTTGTGGTAGTGTTGCCAGCATTGTTTCCGAAGAGACCACCAGTGTTTGTATTGGTGTTAGTCTGGCCGAAGGCGTTAGTTGTCTGATTGGCATTTGCGTTAGAGCCGAAACCCCCAAAGCCTGAGCTAACGCCAAAAGCACCGCCCCCCGTGGCATTCCCATGTCGACGTCCCTGTGCGTAGTCCACCAATCGAAGCTCTTCTGATGACCACTTCTTATAAGGTTCCTGAAATAGAATGTTTTGGAAGGAATTGGTCGTTGAGGTATTAGGCTCCTTCTCGGTATATGCGTTGAACGGTGTTGATGCGGTGCCTGGCGGGTCGCCTACAGAACCAGTTGCGAAACCAGTGCTCGTGGTGCCGAAGCCACCTGAGGTTGTGTTACCGCCGCCAAACAGGGAATTCCCAGTGTTGGTCGTTGTACCGAAGCCAGATTTATTCGCGCCAAACATGCCGCCAGTTGTACCTCCGCCACCACCAAATGTCGAGGTGGTCGAGTTAACAGCGGTGTTGCCTCCAAAGCCTCCGAAGGCGGATGTTGTATTGGTATTATTCGTGTTGCCACCGAAAAGACCACCAGAAGTGCTGGTGCCAAATGCAGGTTTGCTTCCAAAGCCGCCACCAGTATTGGTTCCGAAACCACCTGAAAATCCATCAGTGAATCGTTCAAAAGTCAAATTTGAGCGGACCAGAGAGATCCAAATTTCCAGTCCAAATAGCAGATAGTACATGGGTAAACGCATTGGCCGTCACGACTTACCAGTCGAAGCTCCAAATCCGCCACCGGTATTACCACTGTTTCCTCCGAACAGGCCTCCTCCAGCAGTGTTGTTTTGTGCAAACCCGCCAGAAGTGGCTTGTCCAAAAGCTATGGAGCCGTATCAGTCATCAAAATCGCATCTAGTGCGCCAGGAGTCATCAGTCTATGCAAGAAAACACGTACCTGATGGAGCAGTATTGTTGTTAGACCCAAATCCACCGAAACCACCAGACTGGGCATTATTATTGTTCTGGCCGAAGCCAGCAAAGCCTCCGCTACCGAACGACATAATTACCCCGTATCTATCGGCAGCAGAGCCGCGGGTTTCAGGAGTCGATTCGATAGTCGGGCCTCAAGAGCTCCAATCGCCCGTCTGAGGCGCGATTCGAACTGCAGACTCTCGTCGTGGAAAAATTCCGATACCGGTCGAGATCTTCAAGTAAAAATCGCCAATGTAAAATCGGTGTCGGCCTTTATTCCACCACAACGGCGTTGATGAAAGTCGAGTCCGACTCGATTGCGTTGTCGCGAAGTTCTGGTCTGGGAGGCGAGGCGCGAAAATGAACATTCCAGGTCTGCATCTGTGGCGGTTCCTAAGAAGCACCTGCCTGCCTCGGCCCACTTATTCCCTAGTTTATCATGCTCTAGCGAATCACCTTCTAGTAGATCAAAGAGGCAATCCCAGCAAAGCCAGGCTGCCAACAGTGGGGCGAGACGCTGTTGCCTGTCGTTCTGTGCAATTACGATGAACCATATTTTTTTAATTACTACCCTACCCTGGTTCTGGTGACAGCATAACCATTACAAGACAGGTCCTAAATTGTCACCAGCTATTAAAAGTCTCATGTATTGAATTAAAAATCCTGATTAGCTGTCTTGTGATAGATGATAGCCAGAGGACAGTCACCAGAAAACCCCTTGGGGCGCTAAGGTAGGTATCTGACGAAATGCCGCACAGCTTCAACCACAGAGGAACTGCCAGCTGCAAAAAATATTGGCCTCCATCTTGTTCTTTATAGTCCATTACGTCCATCTCTTTATCAACAGCGACATGACGGCTGACTAAACTAACCCGCAGGCCTGATTTGTCGCCATCGAGGTGGAGATGCAGTGGCAGAATATATTTGCCCACCAAAAAGTATACACTAATACGCTGTAGTATATTATAGTATATTATATTATAGAGCGCAATAGCCAGGTATCTGGCCTGGTTAAATAGTACTCTTTGCCTTCTACTGTATTCTATGCATATCTGACTTCAATAAAAGTTCAGGTGAGGCAATATCTGCAGCATCGTGGCTGATAAAACAACGGGTTGTGTTAAGCGGGATCTCGCAGCATTTCCATAAGAGCTACTGCCGAGCCCAGAACTGGAGACAAGTTTGCCACGCGTGCACATGTATATTTTCCTCCCAGCGGAGCGTCGTCTTGGGATAATATTACGTAGCCTCTGCACCGTGTGCTATGGTTCTTGGGATTATGTAAACGGAAATATATGCAAAGAGGATTAGAAAATGATGACATGTATGGTCCATATCGTTGACATCTTACCGTAATTAGCTTGATTGCCTTTGGCCTAAACGGGAAGTCGAGCAATCTGAGCCGATTTATTGTCCGCAAGAATATTCGAATATACTAACCGATATCGCAGTAGCTTCAAAATCCTCACACCACAACCTCCTATTTGAATGACTAGGGCTTCCTCCGTTGACGGGCCTGCAAGCCCAGAACATCTCAACCTCAAAGTTCCAGACAACAACAAGGAAAGGGATCATACAGTCACGTGCATGGATCTACACAAGCATTGTTAGCGGGCACTGTCCATAGCCTAGAGGACTCTCGCAATACAACCTGATTGTTATACCTCAAGCCCTTGTGACCTAGTCGTAGACCTCTCTTTCATGAGGTCTGACAGAAAGCTTGTAAAAAGGGACTTTTATATGAACCTTCAATTGGCCATCGACATCTATATAAAGCACCTCAGGTCCACAGCTAGATAGGTTGAATACCAAGCACAAGCCCGCTCTTCAATTTTCATAACGACCACTTCCTTCTAGACGAACTAGCTACATCCTTTCAGAGGCTATGTTCTCAGCGGCCCGCCACCTCCGATACCCCTTTTAGGGAGCTTGGATGCTGACTAGACCAGAGGATCTCCCTCATTTCATTGTCTCAAGCTCTAGAATTCATAGTATTAGCCGCCGCACCGAGTATTTCTCAGAAACGCCTCTTGAGAGAAACCCAAATATATTTATTTCAGTTGGGTAGCAATGAGGACTAGCGACTTCCTTCCCCTAGGAGGTGATTCGTTAGAACGCGACAAAGTAGGAAATTAGTGGGTCAGTAGCGCGCATAGCGAGTTTAGGTACTCCGTAGCACGAATCAATACTCTCTCCTCTTGGCTACGAGTCGCGCGTGGCTCCGACCAGGCGCGTCGCAAACGCTTCCTTTCTCTCTCCTCGGCGTAATCCGCAAGCATCAGCAGCCCTTCCACGCCGGGTCGGTAACGAAAATAATAATAACAACAACATACCCAGTCGCCCTCTTTCGCTCAAGCTTCTGAAACCTACAGGCAACTAGTTGTAAGCTAGTTGCTCACGCGCGATACCATTCCTAGCTGCTTCTTCCACCTCGTCCTCGCACCTCTCCTGTGAACAGAGCCCTCGACATCTCGACTCCTCAGCCCCTACAACCATGAATCCTCACGCCACGCCACGCCCCTTTCCGGGCCGCTCAATAGGACCTAGTTCCCTTCAGCAGCATCAATTCCAGCAGAGCCAGCAAAACCAACAGCCGCAGCCTCAGCAGCAGCAACGGCAACCCCTAGCTCCGCAAGTATCGGCCAACGAAGAATATGCCTCCATATCCGACGAGGATCGCGAACACATTGACGAAGTCGTGAGTTTGCGCCACCAATGCAACTTTGACTCCCCCCTCCCGTTAACCCTTTACTAACAAGTCGTGGGCCGCCAGTTCGATCTGATGGACATGAAGAAGAAAGGCTGGCTAAACTCCTACGAATTCAAACACTCCCTGGCCGCCCTTGGCTTCGACCTAAGCAAACCCGAGTACTTCCGCGAGCTTCAGTCCTACGGCTCCGTCCCACCAGACTGGCATGACCAGCAATCCTGCCCCGTCAACAGATACTACGTATACCTCGACCAATTCCGGTTATGTGCCGCCAAGCTTATTGCCAATCGAGACCCACGCGAGGAAGCAGCCAAGGTGTTTGCCATGTTCGATTACGACCAGGATGGATTTATATCGGTAGAGGACTTGCGGCATCTGGCACAGGAGATCAAAGACGAGCGTACCTTGTCGGACGAGGAGATTCAAAGCATGATTGATCACTTGGATCATGATGGCAAGGGAGGTGTGAGCCTGGATGAGTTCATGCAGATGATGGAGGAGGCTGGGTAGGGGAAAAGGCAGGCGGGATTGCAAACAGTATAGTCAGGTTCAGGCGGCCTTGCAAGCCAGCAGGCTGTCTGGTTCAAGCTCATCGCGGTCGGAAGCTGTTCATCGCCGAGCCGCAATGAGGAGGTCAGTAGGTCGCTCAGAGAACGCCCACGGCTAATATCAACCGCACAATGATTTTTGTGCTGCCGCAGCTCTTCAGCACGGAGACTCCCATGGGCTACTGACTCTCGAATGGTTCAAGCAGCCAAGATTACATACCTGGTCTTACCTGAGCAGCATGACGATGCAGAGTCAAAGCAGCCGCTATGGCAAGGCACCGCCCACCCATTTGGGTACATCACAGGCGACAAGGCGTTGGGGTGTCAAAGGGAAATGTTCACGTCATTAATCATTGGACATTGGAAAAGTAAGGAATCACGTTTGAATCAGATCTAGGAGTTTTGATTGGAAAGAGCGCTCTCTAAATAACCCGTTACAAAATAAAAGTAATTTGGGACCACCCTACCACACCTGTGCAAAGCAAGTCTTGCCCAACTCCCCAACACATACAGCCCAGGTCTGACTTCCAAAATATCCTCCCTAGATGAAGATGAATCAATGGCAGAAACAACAGGTATGAGTTTGGGATTTTGGCTCCAACACTATAAATAAAGCATTCTTCCTTGCCATTGAGAAAAGAGAAAAATTCGTGATTTGACAAAAGGGAAATGGTGGGTAATGTTGTAGATGTTCGGTGGTTTTACAGTGTACTGTAACAACAGCATCCTCCACTCACTGTAACAATTACACCAACAAAGATAACCAGGGGCGGATCAAGGGTTTAGAAAGTAGATCAAATTAGAATTGAATAAGGTCTTGGCCCTGACCCTGTTGCTGCTGCGGCCGAGCACCGAAGGGGTTGTTGCTGCCCTGGCCGTTGGTAGGCTGGCTGCCGTATGTGACGCTTGGCATACCAGTGAACTGTTGACGCATATAAGGATTGCCCGTAGCATCGGCACCAAGTCGCTGAACGCCGGAACCTGCACTGTTGGCAAACATGCCTGGAGCCGTGTGCTGAGCGGGAATGCGAAGCTCTCCAGTGTTGCCATAAGTATCCATACCGTCTCCCGTTGCCAAAAGATTGTTCAGCTTGCTCTGGTAATCGTTCATTTCCTTGTGCGGGGGAGGGTTGAGGGAGTGCTGGGGCTGTTGCTGGGGCTGCTGCTGTTGCTGCATCATTGGCCGGTTGTTGAAAGTTGACAAAGTCTTTTGCTCTGGTAAAGCTCCCAGAGTGGAAATAGGAGTCGAGGTTTGCGGGCGGTTGTTCTGGGCGAAAGGGTTGTTTGAGCCTGTGGGGGTTGGCATCAGGGATGGCTGTTGTTGGGATTTGTTGGTGGCCCACGGATTGTTGCTTCCTGGTTGCGGCGCAGACTCCAAAGGCTGTTGAGAAAGCTGAGGCATTTGCTGGGCATATGGGTTGAAACCAGTCGCCTGCGGCTGGAAGCCAGTCATGTTGTTCTGCTGTTGGCCATAGGGATACAAGCCCATACCAGTGGGTTGCATACCAAAGGCTTGGTTGTAATTTGGCTGGAAACCGGTTGGTTGAGATTGCTGATATCCAGTATATGCATTGTTCATAAACCCGGCAGGTTGGTTCATTACAGCGTTTTGGTCGACAGGGTTGGCAAAGAAATCTACCTGGTTGCCCTGCTGGTAACCCTGGTTGAACCCGGTGTACTGAGGTTGATTCGACGTGGATGGCTGGGGAGGATAGTCATCAAACAGAGAGTTGGCGTTGCTGTCTTCGAGTTCGCGGCGCCTTCTTTCTTCTTCCTCTTGGCTGAGTTTGATAGCTTTGGCCAGATCATTGTCATCGTCATCATTCCTCCTACTCTCGCGCTTTTTCCTGTCTTCCTCTTCTTGAACCTTGCTAGCCTCTATTGCTAGTCTGTATTCTGTGTCATTTTCATCGTTGGTAAAAGCTCGTCTATCGCGAGGTCGATGGGAGGCTGACGGCTCGGCACGCTGCGCTTCATACACCTCCACCCCGTTTACGCGAGATTTCCAGACTCTTCTATTGCTTCGCTCGTCCCTCAGTCGCGCATCGTCTGCAAGTAAAGATGTCAAGTCCTTGGCGGCCACTCGTACTGTTGAACTTGCGTTAGTATACCAGCCGCCCTTGTAGCTGTCGAAGAGATATCCTACCATTCTGGCCGACATCTCGACCCTCTTCATCAATGTACTGAAACTCTCTCAAGGTCTTGATAACATAGTCGTTGTTGCGGGCCCAAGTGACAACCAGCTCGGAGCCCTCATGAAGGCAGTAATCAAGAACTTTTAGTGCTTTAAGAACGTGTCTCCAGTTCTTGCCCCTGTCGTTCAGGCGCCTGTCAATAATGTCCATGATGTCACTTAAGTCGTGCGCCCTGTATATGGCAAGAAGGTCAATCAAAAGGTCTATTGGGTACAAGGTGAACAAAGCTTACCCAGCAAACGTCAACTGAGCAATTTCGCTCATCTGAGTACCAGTTGGGCCCCATGGATCGTTGCTCGTGGCTGTTCAGTATCGAAGAGACTTTCGTTTAGAAAATAGCGCTACTAATATCACGGGCCGTTCCAGGAGGTCGCTCACCTTCTCTGACCTTGACCTGGGTACTGGAATACCCCTTGGTCACATTCTTCACACTTCGCATTACCTTGGACATGATGGGCGATTGCGGGGCTTGAATGCCTCCGTGGACTTAGCCGTGCTTGGAGGAAAGACGGAGGGAAAAAAAAAAGTCGACGGGCCCGGAGAGGTCGCGGCCTTGAAGCTGTCCAAATTCGCCCCTCACAGTTGTCTTTGAAATCGAAAGACAAAGGGCGGAGACGGCGAGACCAGTTCACACCTTGGACTCGGAGGCGAGCGAAGTTGGACCTACTGACTGAGGCGGCGCTGCGAAACAAAGGCGTATGAGCTTCAGGTTTGTCCCTGGTCGCAGAAACGCAGAAACACAGAGACAACCAACACGATAAGCTCTCTAATCGAAAGACTAGAAAGGCAACCTGTCTCGGATGTTTAAACGACGGCAGTTGAAAGGCTCGTCACCAGGAGCCGAGGGCGGTCGTGGGGGTTGCTTGGTTGCCCCCGTCGCAAGTGCAAGCTTGACTGCAAGTGCGTGGAGATGGAGCTCAGGCGGCCGCGCGACTGACAGAACAAGTGATGACGAACAGGCCAATGCCAGCAGGGGTGTGCAAGCTGTGTTGAAGAAGGATCCCAGTCGAGCAATGAGAGCGGGCAGTATGTACAGGGTGAGGTTCTTTCTTGCCAACGCGGCTTGTCGACGGCGAGACAAAGGAGGGAGTTGAATGGTTCGAGGTTTCAAGCGGCTTCCCGGCCTTGGGGAGAGGCGACATGGAACCTCAGAACGTGTCGCAGCACTCAGCCAGTTGAGCGTTCAAGTGGCTCGTCCTGGCCAAGACTGGACGCCAGACTGCTGCGACTGGGGCCGCCATACTTCATCCGTAAGTACGTTCTTGGGTACCGACGACAGGCCGGGTACTTTCGCCCGTACGCTGCGGACTACGTACTCACCGTTGCCGCTACGTGCAACAATGAATGTTCCGACCAGACGCCCTTAATTGTGATAGATGGTCCTCATCCTTGCAGGATGCTCTCAAATTACTGGTACGAGGCTTTTTACTTTCTTTGCACCGAGTAACAGAGCTGAATTGCCCTCGCTGGCACGGCTTGCGATTGATCGTCACGACTGTCCGACGAGCACCGCTCGCAACTTGCCAAGGATACCTGACCAGGTAGGTCGTCTCGTTGGCAACTTGGGATTGGCACATGGGCATCACGGTTCACCAGATGTGGCTTCACCGTCAATTGATTCCAACAGTTGTAGGGCCTCAATGCCACAGATTCATCCGCCGCTAATTTAAAAGAAAACCAACCCCAAACATTAGCGCTGTTCATCCTGTAATGTCGAGTCTTCAATGCACTACGTCACAAGCGCTACGCTAATCCGCCCCAGCCACTTCCACTTGTTGACATGTGTTCGCTGAGGTCAACTGGTAGTACTTAGAACTTGTTCTACGAGCGGCAAATCGACGCGTACATACAGACACGTAATAGCAGTCGACGGGTGTCTGACTCGTGATGGCGGCCCAACACCGGACATGCCGCTGCTCACATACCACCAAGAACTCGAAAGTAAAAATTAATGATGGATGGTATTGGCCCCTTCATTTACGCCGGACCGACTGGGTGGGTTGGAAGCTTCACTTCGTCTGTTCTTGCGACGGTCTTTCTAGATTGTGTCCTCCGTAGGACACATAAAAATATTGTTCTCGGATGGCGCGACCCGCTTAGTCGACGCTTTTTTATTTCTTAGTCAACACGGTGGCGGCGATACCAACCCTGCACACACACTTACAGGCGGGAAAGGACCACTCCACACATCAAAACGAAAAAGGCAATTGTGGCATCGCTATTATTACCGTGATTCTTGTCTAGATGCAATATAGTTCTGCGTCTATCCTTTATCCAAAGCTCAATGAGCGTTGAGCGTCTCCATCATCACTGCATTGTATCTCCATTGGCCTTATGGTCTAGCTGGGGTATAAGTTTATGACTGCCACTTGCGGAAAGTATCCATGACTGTAGTGAAAACGACGAGCAGAATGCCGCCCCCGGGTCCGAGACGGAGAACCTGATTGTATGTGTCAGCACGTGATGTGCAAGTGACTCTACAAGGGAAAGCGTCTTACCTTTGGTAGGAAACCCTTGTACAGTGCACCAGCGCCTTCTTCCCTGAACACAGTAACGACCGATGACCAAGCCCAATTGTACTTGGGAACCTGTCCAGGGATCTTCGGGGTGTTCTGAATTCGGCTCTTAACGACATCCATGGGCGTGTTCAGAATCGTGCCGACCGTACCACCAATGGAACCAGAGATCAAGTCGTTCGTCATCTGGCCCTGTTTGGTGCTTGCCTTGGGCAGCATCTGTCGGACCTGAAAGATGCAACCAAAGTAACCCGCGTTCCAGAGAATATGTCTCCACATAGTACTCTCCAGACCTTGGTACATGGTCAAGATACCCTCATTCTTGACGGTCTTGACAACGCAGTCAACCATGCCGTTGTACTTTCCAGCAGAGGCCTTGTCTTGAAGACGAATCTTGACAAGCTCGAAGGGGACGACGACAAATGATTCGGTAGCACCGGCAGTAGCACCGGTCAGAACGGACAGAGATTGGTTCATCGTGTTCATGCCGAACATCTTGCGGTAAACCTTGCCCCATTCATCGTTGGCGGCGAACTTTGTAGCACGCTTAGGGGCCTCCATGAGGATTGGAGCCGAGATTCCTCGGTAGAGACGTGAGAAGCTATAAAAATGTCAATGCCGTGACTCTGCGACGTCGGGCTAGAGTCCTCACCCTTCATTCTTGATGATCTTACGGAAGCAGTCCAACATGCCATTATAAGACTCGGCGCCAGTGCCCTTTCCAGTTTGCAGTTGACTGGCAAAGTTAGTCCATGAATCGAGGACACGGTCTTGGGGAGACGGGAACTTCGTACACGCGGGTCTTGACGACATCCAATGGGTACCTGTGACATGTGCGTCAGTGGGTTGTCATGAGAGGTCTATGCCAGAGAACAATCCTTGAGGCAACTCACATTACCAGAATCTTGACAAATTCTATGTTAGAACATGGTATTTCTCGTGTGAACTACATCGCGTAGAAGGCATACCTCCGACACGCCGGCAATGGCGCCTATGGCACTGTTAGCGGGTTCCGATATATCGGAATATTCTGGGCTCGTCATCAGCATGGCATACCTGCGGCGAACTGGTAAATGAAGGGTAGAGGCTTCTCCTGTGACATGATGGGACAATGTAGCGGCTTTTTCGATGATTTTCTGAACAATTGACGGGAAGCCTGCCGAGATGTCACAGGGGCAACTTTGAGCGCAACGTGCGGGAATGCAAGAGCGAAGTCGGTGATGGAGAAGGTAATGTTACAAGCGCACTGGTGGTCTTGTACTCTGCACTCCGCACCAGAGCCTGGTTCCAGCCCGCTCCCGGAATTCCGTTTTGACCAGACCTTTTGCCAGTTCCCTTGATGGCCACTAGCGCCTCTCTACCGGCTGTAAGCGAACCGGTTTCCCCACACGGATTGGCGGCTGCCCGCGGAGCCCTACAACACAGCAATTCAGGGCACGCGATATTGTCATTTACTATTTCAGTACAGGGTAGGGTCATTTATTCCAACTACCGTGTCGTTCTCCAACGGAACAATATATTCCTTCTTAGGAGGCAAAAAGTATTTGACTAGATCAGGCACCCGGCTATCACACTCTATACTGTAATATATTATGGTGTATTAGTATATACTTCCTGGTGGGTAGATATATTCTGCCACGGACTGTAACTCTTGGTCTCTTTGCTGACCAAACTGCCCGGCTCTCACTCTCTGCTTCTGAGTTGCTTAATTACCTACGCCGCGGCATGGGTTAGACGACCATGAATTGACTGTGATAGCGAGCCTATAACTGGTGCTCCATACCAAATGGATAGACGAGAGCAGCAGAAGAAACAATTGGTCATGTACTCGTGGGACCCAGGAACCCGAATCCGGGTAGAATGCATTGTCTCGAGAAGTCAAGTATACCGACTGCCCCCAGTGCACCCGTTTGGCGATACAGTAACAAGTGTACAGTGCGCTCTTGGATGTCTCGTTTTTAGTCCATCATTACACATCTTACGACACTCCGTGCTCGTTCCGGACATTATTCGTCGCTCGAGTTCCAAGAGAGTCTGTTTGACGCTTGAAATCGGGCAAATAGAAATGTACTAATACACGCATGTGCGAAGCCCTGTGACCACAAGCCGGAAGCAATGGCCGCTATTGGCTGTGCTGAGAAGTGGAAAAAGAGCTCCGGAGTGAAGCCCCAGCTGACTCCAATGTCGAGCAAGGTCCAGGTTGTGCGCCCAGGGCTAGACGCCACTTCAGCACTCCCACATGTCAGCAAGTCCCTGTCCCATCAAACCAGACTGCAAACATGCACTCTCGTGCCTGCGAACCCCGCTGACGCGCACAATTATAGCACCCACAGCACCACATGTGCAGACCAGACACGTCCGTTTTTGGATGCTGAGGCCCTGCAGGAACGAAGCGTCACTCTGCTCTTAACTCCATCCTCTTCCCCCCGTCCTCCGGCATCATCATCACGACATGCTTGGCCTCGCCATCATTGCCTGAGAATTTGCATTTCCATTTACATCTGCATCTGTTTCCCACTGTTCGAACTCTGACCCTAATTTGGCTCGCTTCGCGGAAATACTTTTGATATCCAGATTCCATCTCTCTGTCAAGGTCAGCATTTACACGAATACTGTGACACGTTCGACCCGTCGCATAACGTTCTGCAACGACCAACGCCAACAGACACCGTGGCAACAATTGCCGTTGTCATGCCAACTCTCCGGCGCCTCAAACAACACCTTTAAACAAGCCGTGATCCCCAGAGACTCACAGCGAGGTGTCGTTTCACGCGCTTGGGAGTTACCCCGGCCATCACGGTACTTCGCAGCTGCCCATGAGTCACCTTCTGTGGAAATTTTATTGGGAAAATGATGTCGAAAAGTTTCGGCGTCTGCTGGCCCCCGCCGGCCCCAATACTCATGCAGTAACGAAGAGTCCTGGGATAGGAAATTCTGGAGGTGGACTTTTAGGCGCAAGTCCTGGTGGCCCGTCCTCGTCTCGGGTGACTCCTAAGGCGCGCAAGACTTCGGGATATACATATGGACTTGGAAGATTCAAGGATGGCGGAGCTATGCTTAGTCGTCAAGAGATTAACAGTCGCGATCACGCCGGTCTTACCGTACTCCTCCGCGCGGCCTCGTCTACCCACCCGAACGCCAGAGAATTTGTTCAAGCCCTCCTCGAACACCCCTCCCTCGATCTCTATGCCCAAGATTCCGAGAGTGGCTGGAATGCCCTCCATAGATCTCTTTATGCCGGAAATATCTCTATAGCTCGGATGCTGCTGGCCAAGGAACGAACCGATTTGACAAACCGTACCAATATATCGTCCGCTGCGAAAGTTGGCCAGCTCATAAAGACAAAAGACCACGAGGGCAACAGCCCATTTGATCTTTATAACTCTACCGTCGCTACGCGGTCGTTAAAACAAGATCGGTCTATCAAATCAAATGATGGCTTGGAGGACGAAGACAGTGATGGCGAAACTGCCCAAATGTATGGCCCTTGTTGACATCCTTATCTCATTATATGATCTGACATTTCTGTGCTAGGGTTGCAAATGTTGCCTTGGGTATCGGCCAACCTGTCACGGGCGACGAATTTTACATGTTTGGAAGCAACAAAAATTTATCGCTCGGGGTTGGCGACGAAGATGATCGCCAGTATCCTGAACGCATTGTTCTGGAACGGCCGGATGAGCTCCTACTTGACCTTTACAAGGAGTACTTAGACAGCCAAGATGTGGAATCACTGCCCAGCCAGCCTGATCTGAACGACATTCCTACCTTGGTACGCAACCAGCGTTTGGCTATTCGAGATATTATTATGTCGAAATTTCATACTGCTGTCCTGACTGATGACCCGGTGTCAAACCTCTATATTTGTGGTGTTGGTCGTCGAGGAAGACTGGGGTTGGGCGATGAGAACACTCAGTTCAGGTTCGTGCCTGTACAAGGGCCATTTATTGATCGCAAGATCCGGCAAGTCGCTCTTGGGCAGGATCATTCCATGGCTGTTACAGAAACCGGCGAGCTTTGGACTTGGGGCCTCAATTCGGATTCTCAGCTCGGCTATGCTCTTCCACCAGTGATGAGGTCCGACGAGGAGCCGATGAGCCTTTCACCGCGGCAGGTGTTTGGGCCTTTGAAGAAGGAGATTGTGCAAGGCATCGCTGCATCGGCTATTCATTCCGTAGCCCACACTGGGTCTTCTCTTTACTGCTGGGGTCGCAATCTTGGGCAGCTTGCTCTCATGGATGCTGACTCGAGGTCGTTGGAATTACAACAGACACCGCGCAAAGTTGCAGCATCACTGCTCTCAGCCCCCATTGAGATGGTGTCAGCAATCGACAAGGCCACGACGTGTTTGCTGTCCAACTATACTGTTTGGATTTTTACCAATTACGGCTACAACCTGGTCAAATTCCCTTATCCTGATGTCTTCAGCAACCAGAATCTATCGGCCAGCTCCTACACACATCGTCATGAGGTGGGCCGTCGCAACATCCGGTATATTGCCTCGGGAGGCGAAACGATAGCTGCGATAACAACTTGTGGTGACTTGTTTACCATGCAGCTGAACAGCAAGATGGATACTAACCAGCTTTCCGGGTCTACGACTAATCCCGTCAAGATCAAGAGTGCTGTTACCCAACCTCAGTGCGTATGGGATTCCCGAAAGGACGGCGTGGCATCCGTGAGTGTTGGTGAGCATGGTTCCGTCATCATCTGCACGGAATCGGGCGCGGTCTGGAAACGAGTCAAGCGCGCCAAGGGGAAACTCACGACATTCGCTAGCGCTCTCGATGTGAAGAAGAAGGATTTTAAATTCGAGCGTGTTCCATACATCACCAACTGTGTTGGTGTTCGCAGTTCAACTTATGGCGCTTTTTCGGCTATCCGTAACGACAGCAAAGTCATGTCCACGGACATTAACATCACAAGCCAATCTATATGGGACGATGTGGGCTCCCTCTTTTGCTTGAACGACTTTATAGCTTCAACTTTTGACGCCGATGAGAAGAGTTCTAGGAAGAAGTGGAATGCTGCGATTGCAAGAGAGAAGCCAGGATCTGTACCCCATGAGATTTTGCGCTCAGCAAATATCGAACAAGATCTGCTTCAGTGGATACAGGTAAACTCTTTTCAGTATGATGACCTCAATATGGAGATTCGAACTTCTTCAAACCCGGACCTCCGACTTCCCGTCCATAGCTGGCTGCTGGCGGGGCGAAGTTCATTTCTTCGTGAAGCCTTATCGACATATCTGTCCAATGGTAATGAGGAGACTCTCGCAGATGTAATTACGATCGAGAAAAACAACGGCAGGGCGCTCCTTACGTTTATTGGCATTGACATATACACGCTACTCAACCTTATTGTGTACGCGTATTTAGATGTAGTCATTCCGGTGTGGAAGTACACGAAGGAAGCACCCGCACTCGCGTATCGCTTCCGCCAGGTGCGAACGGAGCTGATGAAGGTTGGAACCAGACTCAACATGCCGAAACTGGAAGCAGCAGCTAGGCTACAAGTCGGTTTGCAGCCGTCCTTGGATGAAAACTTGCGAGAGGCTATTACGGACCCTATTTTCTTCAATGATGCCGACATGATCATTGAGGTGGATGGAGACGAAGTTCTAGCGCACAGCCATCTCATCTGCCAGAGAAGTCCCTTTTTTGAAGGCATGTTTCATGGACGGTCTCAGGGTCATTGGTTAGCTGCTCGTCGTAGCACATCTCTCGAGACAGAGTTAATCCGCGTGGACCTCAAACATATCAGCCCGGAAACCTTTCGCTATGTTATGGAATATTTATACGCAGATGTCGGGGAAGACGTATTTAACAATGTTTGCATGAATACTCTGGATGAATTTTCGGAGCTGGTTCTCGACGTGATGGGCGTGGCTAACGAGCTGATGCTCGACCGCCTGTCGCAAGTTTGCCAAAGCTTGATAGGCAAATTCGTCACAACCCGCAATATCGCCAACCTCCTCAACGAGATCAGCCCTTGCTCAGTCACTGAGTTCAAGGATGTCGGGTTGGAGTATATCTGCCTGCAACTGGAATCTATGCTTGAAAATCATCTCCTAGATGGCCTTGACGAAGATCTTCTGTTAGACCTAGACGAGGCTGTGCGCAACAACCAGTTGGCCAGGCTTCCTTTTGCGCGCAGTGGGCGGGCTGAGCTGCTACTCCACGACCAGTACCCAGATTTGGCTCTCGAAATTGAAGAGGAACGCCGACGTCGGGTCAGGGAGATGGCGTTTAAAATTGCCCAGAAAGATGAAGAAAAGAAACTATCGGCTTCTTATAAAGCACGTGTCGGCAGCCTTGACGAGTCAGTACTGGCAGCCCAGACTCCGGAACGGTCTCACCAAAGATCGAGAGCTGCACAGAATGAACCCTTCAGTCCTCCTTTGCGATCAAAGGATTCCCTTGCAGACCTGATATTCGACATGGATGACGAGGATGGTCCCAAAATCAGCAGTCCGATTTCACCCGCGGTTTTAGCGTCTCCAGATGCCAAGAACGAGTTTAATTTGGATAACATGCCAAAGCTTCCAGAAGCATGGCGAAGTGCGAAGTGGAAGTCGTTGGCGGATGCTGACTCTGGAAACTCACCAAAGTTGGATAGGATCTCACCTTCCCAGCTTCCTGGACCTAGCATCGAGCCATTACGCCGAGCTGGCAGCTCTCGCCAACCAACATCCCTGCCAATTAGACCTGCTAATGCTCCGTGGGCGTCACCTATTCTCCCTACATCAAAGCTGGATTTGAAGGACATCATGCAGGAAGCCACTTCCAGATCGGCGCTCACGGCTGGTTTGGCATCGCAGGCTGAGAAGGCAATCTCCTCAAACAAGCCACAAGCACGAATGTCTCAGAAGGAGCGCAAGAGACAACAAGTACAGCGAGCCGAGGCCGAGGCTGCAGCAGAGAAGGAGAAGAATAATTCGGTGCCTTGGCAAGCTGTCCATTCTGCGGCTCGGCCAGCACCATGGAAAACGTCACTTTCGATCCCAAAGACTTCATTAAAAGACGCTATGCAATCAGAAAGTGCACAACGCGGAGTGCCGACGTTGTCCAAAAAACCTCTTGTCGCTGCCGAATCCGATCCTGGATTGTCAAGACGGAGGACAGCCTCTCCGGATACCCGTTTTCCAGGACAGTGCCGAACGACCGGCTCAGCAGCCGCACCCGCAATGCCGAGTGGCCAATCGTCTGAGAAGAATCCGCTTGTGCCACATTCAAAGGCGTACATCAAGCCAGTGGCCAAGGCTGAACCTACCCTAGGAATGAGCATGGCTGACATTATTGGGCAACAACGGCTAGAGCAGCAACGGGTCAAGGAAGCTGTAGCTAAGCGATCACTGCAAGAGATTCAGGAAGAACAAGCCTTCCAGGAGTGGTGGGACCAAGAGAGTCGCCGAACACAGGAAGAGGAAGCCAGGAGGCAAGCCAGGGAGAAGGAGAAGGATCAAGGTGGTGGTAACCGACGAGGACGAAGGGGCAGAGGCGGCAAGCCAAAGTCGAGCGGAATTATGGGCGGAGCTGAGAAGACTGAGGAAGCTTCTACAAAGCGAACAGGTAACATCACAGGTCCTTCAAAGGGCAGGGGAGGTAAAGCTAGGGGAAGCAAACATGGATCTACCGGCATATAACTGGGGTACTTGAGCAGTAGAATACAACGGAGCGTTGGCGTTTCGGGGCCCGGGATCCCCTAGGCAGATTTGAGTTTTTGTTTGAGACCTGCTGTATGCGCCATAGTGTTTTTTCTTCTTCTTCTTCCATGATATACGAAGCTCGAAGCCTGTAAAACACGATTACGTTGAGTTAGTTCTATCTGCAAGGCAGCAATGTCACAAAAGCATGGAATCCAATTCCCCTCAAATGAGAGGTTAGAGCAAAAGATTGGTCAATGCCGAGAATTGAGCTATGTGAAAGACTCTACTGAATATGACTTGCTACGCGTCCTACGGTGTGGTTCACGATTGGAGAATCCCTGCCGTCCCGATCGAGAACGCTGTGTGACGTGCAACACCATTAGGGTATCAGCCAACTACAGCGCACACATTCCACAAGTGTGATTGCAGACAATACAGGGACGGGGGCAATCATTGAGGTTCACAAGAGGGGAATGGGTAATGAGTAATGATGGCAGCCTTGTATGGGGGGAGTCATCACATTTGGAGCAGATGCAGAGATGCCTGGGGGTATGGCACATACGGAGTATTCTGTAGGCAGCTCTGGACTTGCATACGTGTTAGTCATTGCCGCCGCTTCCTGCACTTGGAGCGAGAGGGGGGAGCAATCAGCTTTTATCCCTGGCTCAGGGCCTTGCAATGGATTTTTTCTCTTGTTTTCATGATTGGCCGGTCAGATGGTTTTGCTTAAGAGGTGAGTGGAGGGTGGTACGGAGTAGCCTGACCTGATATGCAGGCTGATCTGAGGGGAGATGTGGAAATTGTATGTACGGCGAGTACGGAGTACCTTGGCACCAGTTGACGGGGAGTACGTCCAGGTGTGAGGTGAGAGTGGTGGTTGGCGCCACGGCATTCTGGGATCTCGGGGCAGTTTTTGGATGTTGCCATTTGACGGGAGGCGGATTTGGTGAGAGTGGCCGCCGCCGTGTACCAACCACGATGTACGATATGCGAAGGGGACGGCGGATGGATCCACCGTGCAGGTTGGGACGCATTTGCTGTTGCCGGACAGAATGTAGACGATGTTCGAGATGGAGCCCAGGAGCTTTCACTGTCCTTACGGTTCGACGCCAGGGGGCCTGGGTGCTGATTGGCTCGTCTGTTATCATCTGGCGTTGCGGCGCGTTCTGTGCACACCAGGCTCACTCGGATCAGGCGCCGACCACGGAGTCGTCGTCGTCTTGCTTGTTCTTTGTCCTACGGCACGAAGTACTCTGTGCAGAAGTAGGCATCTACAGGAGGGTGCACACTGTTCGTTCGGATGCAAGATAAAAAGGGAGAATGAACGAGATGCTATTACTGGGTGCCATTGCATCGCTGTCGAGTTGGCCGGTGTTTTTGTCCTTTTCTTACTGCTCACTTGTTTGCTGCATGTCGAATGCCTGAATTGGGCCCCCCCAATGGCGAGATACGAAGCTAATCGCACTGGCTAATGACGAAAGCCGTGGCCGTGGGCCCGTCATCTAGATCACGAGGACCCTTGGATTGACTGCTGCCTGTGGCTGGTGACCTTTGTTCCTCGGGGCTGCAAAGTACGGAGTAGCATTGATGCAATGGAGTACATACAACTTGTCTCCTGTCCAAGCGCTGGGCCTGCGACTGCATCTGCGCTCGCATCTGTGCTCCATCTGCTTCCCGGACTGCACCGCACCAGACCAGGGGCACGGGCGCCCCTGTTCCGCACTCGTCGTCGGCCTCCAGATAGCTGCCTTGTCGACCCTGCTGTCGTCTCAAGCTCTGTCTTCCGCGTCGGTGTGTCCAGGACTCGTCTGCATCCAGATGTCGCGCTGTGCCACCCACGGCGAACCCATCTGGCTTGAGTACAAGCTCCGGCGGCTCAGGTATACGTACACCTGCACGGGGTACCAGAGTAGATTCAAGTGTTCCGTCCTCCGTGCTGGAGTACCTTCCTGGTAGGTACCCTGATACACACACGCTCTCCAGACGCTTGACAGAGTTGGAGTCGAGATAACCTAAAACGAGGGACCAGCAAACTCTCTGCCTGCACTCGTGCTGCCGGCACCCAAGTACTTCCTTACCAGACCCTGGCTGGCCCCGTCTAGCCTGTGCTAGGAATGCCTAGGAATGCGCCACTAGGACCAGTTGACTTGATGCTCCATCCTCGGTACTCCCTGGCTCGCCAATCCTCCGTGCTATCTTCTAGTTGCCTTCCAAGCTGCGGATCGCCATCAATCACGGGCCAGTTGACCCAGTGCCAGTTGACCACTGGCGCACCCCCGGCTTGTCAACTGCCTGGTAAAGTTTGTGGGGTGTGGATTGAGCTCCTCGTGCTGGTACTCGTGCTGGCACTCGTGGCTCGCAGCACTCGTGCTTCTTCTGCGTCTGGCACTGGTGCTACGACTATCGCTCGGGTTTCCTCTGCTGCTGGAGTCTGCTTCTTCTTGCACCTCTTTGGCATCGTCTACCCGGACGTCCCTTTCCTCCTCATCTATTCACCGTCATCTGGTCAGCCGGACAGCTCAGAGCCAGCGTCGATATATTCCTATATACAGCCGGCCGTGAGGGCCGTCGTCTCTTACCACTCCCAGTCCCGACGTCTTGCAGCACTACTACTACTCTGTACCCATACAGCCATTGACGATGGAAGAGCGTCATCCCGATGCACCGTCCCATTCCTAATCGATTCTCCGTCCCATCTCCCGCACTGGTGCTCGCCATCTGACCAGCCCTTCCATCTGAAGCCGAGCTGCTCGTAGCTCGAGCTGAATACAATCATGCATCAACAGGCAAGACCGCCGCCGAGGCCGTCTGTGTCACCAGCGTCGTCGCCGCAGATCAACCAAATCAGCCAGACCCGACCCAACACCGCCAGAGATGCCGCGCAGAGCAGTCGCCAACGAGCCGGCTCCAATGTTTCCGGAAGAGATGCCACGGCGTCCCCGACCGTGGAAAGCAACCAGGTCATGGGTCCTCCGGCCGATTCCATCAAGAAGCTGGATCAAATCGTCCAGGTATGTGCGGTGCTATGTGCTATGTGCTATACATGCGGCCGTCAAGGCACCATGCCCATGGGGCTCTCCAGCCAGTTTTCAGTCACTGACAATCAGGCCTAGAACTTCTTCAACAAGGCTGCCGTCCTCATTCTTGAGTCGAGAATGAAAGTCAAGCCCACTCGTAATGCAAACGGCCAGAGGAAAACGAATAAATGGGTACGAAATCTTTGTTATTCATTATTGGAACAAAGTCGGGCCCCCGCTAATTGATTTTTTTTGTGCCTCAGTTCCAAATAGAGACGGACGAAATAGATGACTTCAGGGATGAACTCAAGATGTGGAAGACATGCGGGAGCTTGGATCACCGCCCGCCGCCGTTGATAATCGAGATATTCCTCGACACTTCGAGTCTCAAAGAGAGTCAGAGCCTTGTCATTCTTGATGACGATGGCAAGCGCTGGGATGTAATGGAACAGCTGAACTCGTCCGAATCATCCAGTGGCAGCTATCACACTGCTCCGACAGCAAGGAATGCAGAAGTCGTATTGGAACGATGGCGTATCGATCTAAAGACGACAGGAACCCTTCTCGCCGACGACTTTGGCCCAACACTGCCCACCATCTACAAAAAAGCTATTGTCTTTTTCCGCTCACTTTTCATCACAACAAAGCTTCTCCCGGCTTGGAAGTTTGCAAGCCAGAGTCCGGCCAAGACATCGCATCCCGCCCTCACTCCTCGATGCCGAATCCGCACCTCAGAACCGGGCAGGTTAGCTACGGGTCTATTGAAGCACCCCATTGATGGTCGACGAGAGCCTGTGACTGAGTATGTGTTTGGCGACCTTGAGGTTCCGGTAGGGCGCCTCAGCACCGCTGTCACCTATCGAAACTACTGTGGCTTTCGGATCGATGATTCCGAGTCATTACTAAGTTCTCGTTTCATGGGGGCCGATGAGAACTTATTCAAGCCCTCAGTCACGCAGAGGGCCGACCGAGCGCATGGCCGAGTCGCTGAGGTTGGTTCGCTACGTGACCATCGCCGTGGAACAGCACTGAGCGATCTTCACCAAACTTATGGAAGCTTGTCAACGTTCCACGGTGACGGTCCATTGGGAACAAGTCCTTTATCAGCACTCAGATCCATCAAAGCTCCTGGCTCGGATACTAGCTCGCCACCGGCGTCCTTACCAACGGGCACTGGGACTGAAGTTGCCCCTAGCTCTATGCCCATCTCAGGCCGCATTTCAACCCCTCGGGCAATGGTCAGCCGACCCGGGGAGAGCTCAAGCAGGAGAACGTCCATATCCTTTCAACCTTTCAAGGCCGGATCTCTCTCCGGATCGCCGGTACCACGACAACTGGAGCCCGATTCTCCTTCGTCAGCACATTCACAGAGTCGCCCCGTGAATTTCCCCATAAGCTCACAACCTCGCAATAGGAGTTCATTGACGGCAGGGATGCCCGCTTCCCTCCGTGGCGGGCCACCCTCGACCTCTGTTGAAACACCGACGGTTGGTTCGCCTAGGCCAGCGTCGACCGGCCGATACAGCAGCAGCTTTACACATAGACGAGGGCGCATGTCCATAGGTCGAGCTGGGGACGACGAACAAAACAGCAGCGGACGACAGAGCCTAGCGTCTTCAGTCGCTCAACCAGGCTCTGGCTTACTGGCGGAAACAGGCGGGACCAGTTCTGGGTCACTACATGTCGAGGAGGATGCCATCTCAGATTTCCTGAAGGCCCTGGATAGCCGGAAAACTCTCAAAAGCTTTGAGCCAACCAAGCGAGGTGAATCGGCGGCGAATCGAACGGTAGCCCAGCTATCCAAGTTCCACTTGATGAGGGATTCGAATAACGCTCTGACAGAGTCCATGACCTCGTCAATGCAAATGCAACGGTCGTCGAGCTCATCAAGCCGACAGTTAACGAGCGTTCCCGGCATGGTTGCTCCAGCCTCCATGTCTGCCTCGTCTTCTCCCGGAAAACCCGTGTCTCCCCATACCCCTCACACACCTGCTATTCCGTCTCGACTGAGTGAGAATTCCATCATTGATTACACTGCCACGGGAAGAATTACTTCGCGAGGGGGGCGGCGGCGGCAGGAGCCTGCTGTGCCAGAACCAAGCAGAGAAAGCACTATTACGCAGGAGGGCACAACTGCTATCGATATACCATTGTCGCCTCGCCTAGGATCATACCAGAGGCGCTCAAGCTCAGCAGCTCAGCAGACTCGTGCAGTGATTGAAGACGACGACACGGAATTGGCATTTGCCGGCGCGCACCGTAGCATTAGCCTCGGGGCTGATGACAGAGAGCCTCCTACTCTGAGTATCTTGCTAGGTCGGCAGTTGCAAATGGAGGACGAGGCGACGAGTGGTGAAGGCATCACTAGTAGCCTACGACCGACTGCCAATGTTCAACCATCAGACGCATCTGCATCCGACGTTATGCAACGTGGGTCTAATGAAGATAATTTGCCTGATGGGTTGATACCTTCGAGCGTTCAATCAGGATCGCCGTTCCCGCGACGTCGGTACGCAGGCATGGGGGCAGCTTCCAAAGCGACACCACCGCAGTCGTCACGGGGGAGCTTCACCGGGTCGCTCAGCCGATTGGCAAGAGCGGATGATGAGTCAGTGGGCGAAGAGCCACTTGTATTTGATCTGTCAGAGATGGACGCGCAAGGCAGACGAAGCCTAGAAGAAGGACGCGGAGGGGCTAACGCAAGCAGCGAACGGGGTGCATTCGAGCCGAGGGGAACGACACGAAGAGGGTGGTAAAAACGGATATTGATCAACTGGATTTCATCCCTTATTTTTGCATCCGCATGAAACAGAAGCATATATTATTGTTGCGTTGGATATGCGCGCAGAAAGAATTGGCATTGGTGAGTCGATTTCATCTGTTAAGAACAGATGCTTTTGGGCGTGGGAACATGTGAGCCGTGGTCTTTTTATTTTGGCGTCTTTGGATTCTGCTAGCATATACATTTATATACATATATCCCCGAATGGCATTCATGTCAGGAAACGGCATTTGAGGAAAGGGGCGATTTGAAAAGACTCAGGACAGAATGGATTACAATTGGAGTTTTCTTGGACAAACAACGTACAGAGGGGAGGGCGTATGGTATACGTGGATGAGTGGAACGATGAGAATGGAAAAGAAAGTGTACAGGGACCAAGACGGCATTTTGGGTCGTGCAGCTTCAAGCATTAGCAATAGCGTGGATGAAGTATTGGATGGACATGAAGAAGTAACATGCGGATGAAGATGCATACCATGGATAAGACGTACGCGACAGAAGCATGTGACGAAGACGAATTAAAAGAGATGGGATACAAAATGGTCTGGTCAAAGGATTCTGTATTTCCATCTTTGTCTGACCCAATCTGACCCAACAACTACCTACCTGGCTATAACGATGCTATACTTGGGCCCGGTGCTTAGATTAGGCGGCGATAATAAGTAAGAGAAGTAGTAATCAAATTGTATTACGGGATCCAAGATGGTGAGGAGTACTTTTGTAGAAATGTCAAGGATAAAGACATGAATGAATATGAGCATGAGCATTGTCCTGGTTTGTTAAGGGTATGCGAACCGGTCGGTCGGAGGCATGTTGGCATCTGGAGGCTCCAGCTGGCGTGCGGGAGCACTTGAGACGGGAGCTGCCAGACCGTTGGCGAGTAAGTGGACGAGCCACTTAGTTGACGTCCCAGCGAGTAAGCAGCTGATTAATGCGTGTGCGCACCAACCAGGACAGGCACTGCAGCTTACTTAAGTAGCTGAGTGACGTCTGGTCTAGCGCAGCGAGAGAGGTGCTGGGGGCGAGTGCTGCAGTATTTGGATGCATGTACCAAGTACCTCGCTCATCCACTATCCACTATCGCAGCGGATATATCAAAATATACTGGCGTCGATTAGTGCACCTCGCCAAGAGGCTGTACACTGCACCCGACACGCCCCGTGCCCCACGGCTCCCGGCCTAATGTCACCAGACACCAGGTATGCCGTCACAGCAGCTCCAGGGTGGACTACGTACTGGTTGGCTTCAATGTTCTCTTCCGGCACCCGCCCGCTTAAATCTCTCCACCACCAGAAAGCAACTCCGACACCTACAGAACCTACCAGACTCGTATAATTCATTCCTCGCTGCTGCTTTACAACTGGTCGTATCCTTATAACAGACACCAGAAAATCAGGGTGCGAGGCGGCGCTGAGCTTCAGCAACCACCAAGCGGACAAGCCGACACCAGCCATTAGCTGCCTCGCAACGTCATCGCCAACCAGCCAACGTCTCCCGCCATGTTTCGAGCACAAGCCGCCGGACCGTTTGATGATGTCGTCGGTAAGCCTCACACGAGGTCTTGCGGGCCTCAAGACTACTATAGCTGACATGCATCTGCTTCGCAACTCACAGCCAGGGCGACCGACGAGAACCTCACGTCCGAGGACTGGGGCGCCATCATCGAGGTGTGCGACAAAGTCGCCAGTGATTCCAACGGGTCCAAGGAGGCCGTCCAGAGCATGATTAAACGGCTTGCACACCGTAACGCGAACGTACAGCTATACACCTTGGAGGTATGGTTTTCTGCACAACCACCACGCAACAGGAGACGACGCCGTCTCGTGGGTCGAGTTCGTAATAACTGACCTCTCCCTGCACCACCCAACAGCTTGCCCACGCCCTATGCCAGAACTGTGGTAAACCCATGCACCGCGAAGTCTCTAGTCGAGCCTTTACCGACGCGCTTCTCAAGCTGGCGAATGACCGAAACACCCATTCCCAGGTCAAGGCCAAGATCCTCGAGAAGATGAAGGAGTGGGCCGATATGTTCAGCAGGGACCCCGAGTTAGGCATCATGAACGATGCCTACCATCGCCTCAAGCAGACCAACCCGACGTTACAAGCCCCCAGTGCGCCGCAGAAGCAGGGCCTCACCGACGCCGACAGACAAAAGGAAGAGGATGAGCTCCAGATGGCTTTGAAACTCAGCTTGCAGGAGGAGGAGCGAAAGAAGGCAACACCACAGGCGGGGCCCAGTACGCAGAGCAGCGGTAGCAGCCAGCAAGAATCCGCGCCGGTTCCGGCAGTCTCTGCTGGCACCACGGCTGCAACCGTAAGCAGGGTGCGAGCCTTGTACGACTTTGTGCCCTCCGAGGCTGGCGAGCTTGAGTTCAAGAAGGGAGATGTGATTGCAGTTCTGGAAAGTGTGTACAAGGATTGGTGGCGAGGCTCTCTCAAGGGAAATACGGGAATCTTCCCACTGAATTATGTGGAAAAATTGACTGACCCTACACCCGATGAACTGCAGAGAGAAGCGCAGATGGAAGCCGAGGTGTTTGCTGAGATCAAAAACGTTGAAAAGCTGCTCACGTTGTTGAGTGCGTCGAATACGGCTCCCCGGGAGGAGGACAACGAGGAGATTTCGGTCAGTTTGCTCTATTTGCACGTGGTTTGGTTGGAACACTATGTTAACCCGAACGCAGAAACTATACCACCAGACTCTGGCTATCCGACCAAAGCTCATCAAGCTCATCGAAAAGTACTCACAGAAGAAGGGTAAGCACTTGTGCTTTTATCTCTTGTCAAGAACGTATAGCTAACAATGAGTCATAGATGACTTTACCCAGCTCAACGAAAAGTTCATCAAGGCTCGAAGAGACTATGAAGCTCTGCTGGAGTCGTCCATGTCTCACCCTCCTCAACACAACTACCAGCAGTACGCCATGCGTCCGGCCGCTCCAGGTCAAGGCTATCCTGGTGGCGGATACCCTCAGGGACAGCCTCCTCAGGATGCCTACTACAACCAAGCACCTCCATCCGGTATGCAACCTCCAGACTCCCTCGACAGTAACAATACCTCCAACTAACGTTCCCAGACCACCCTCACTATCAAGCCAGCTCTCCACCTCCTAGCAGCTTCCAGCCGCAAGGCAATCCGGCTCCCTTCTACGTCGCCGGAGCAGAAGTGCCGTCCCAGGCTCCCGGCGCCCAACCTCCTCAACAGCAGCAGCCTCAGCAATATCCGCCAAGAGATGACACGCCCAGCCTTGGACCATCATCCGGGAAGCAGCCGGCACGCGTCAACCCATCCTCACCTCCTCCGCAGTCCTTCACGCCCTACTCCCCGCAGCCCCCTCAGCAAAACGCCGCTCCTTACTCCCAAATCCCCAGCCAGCAACGACCACAAAGCACGTACGGCGCACAGGAACTCGCCACCTCGGTCTACGACTCCCCCATTGCACCGCACAACCCTAATTCCGCACCCTTCGGGCAACAGCAGTACCATTCCTACAACCCGCCCGAGCAGGCTCCTCCACCAGCACCGACGGGCCAAGCTCCCCCTCCGCCGAACTCCATGTCCCCTGCGCCGTTGCAGCCCGGTGGCGCTGCGTACGATGCTCGTCACGGACTGCCTAGCCAGGCGGCACCAGAGACTCACCCCCCACAGCCGCAGTATAAGCCGTACGTGCCGCCTGGCGATGGACCGTCACCGAATGACTATTATAGGCAGGGGAATCCGTACTAGGTGTCTGTATGGGGAAGAATAAGAGGGCCGGGTGGTGTAGCTAGGTAATGTGATATGATGTTGACTCGGTAATTTCATGTCAGTTTTCTTAAGTACCAAGTGTAGATTGCGGCTGCAATAAACTCGAGTCATCGACAAGTCTATCCAAGGATCAGAGGCTCGGGCTCCCGCCCGCCAATGCCATCCATTCCTTTGTTGAAACCGTGCTTGTCCCGTCTTCCTGTCCTTGGTCAACGTATAGCTCATTCCAAGCCGGCCGTAACTCGGATTCGGATGTATACTAGAAGCCCTGATGCTCTGGAGTCTTGCGTACGTACTGTATCACGGCAATGCGAGATTCTTCCGAGGCAATAACGGGCTTGAACTGAGGTATTTCCAAGGCAGTTGGGTGTGACACCCTGGCCGTGAGTTTGCCAAAACATGAAGCTACGCATGCCAGACCCGCGCCGGGACTCCGGGCAAATCGACCCAGCCGTGGTTGAGCAAGAGTGTCCCAAGGAGCGAGAGCCCGCCGGTCAAGTCCGCATTGTGGTGCGCGGCACATCGTGTGGTGCAGAGCCGCGACTGGACCGGTGAAAGCGAAAGGACACACTACGAATTACAGCCGTCTGCAGATACCAGATCACAAAGTTGTAGAGCCATCCAAGACAGATGCTAGGACAGAAAAGACGTAAAGCCTAGAGTCCCCCCGCCCCCCCCCCCTG